TAGTAGTAGTAGTAGTAGTAGTAGTAGTAGTAGTAGTAGTAGTAGTAGTAGTAGTAGTAGAAGTAGTAGTAGTTAGTAGTAGTAGTTAGTAGTAGTAGTAGTAGTAGTAGTAGTAGTAGTAGTAGTAGTAGTAGTAGTAGTAGTAGTAGTAGTAGTAGTAGTAGTAGTAGTAGTAGTAGTAGTAGTCGTAGTCGTAGCCGCACGGTTCACAGCAGTTGGGAAGTCAACCAGCCTCCAGCCCGAACGCACTAGAGCTCAGCAACAGGCCCTGCCTTCGCATTTTGCCATTGGATCTACGAGTCGCTTCTGCTGTGAACCGCCGGGTCCCCATTCCCGGGCCTCACGCGCGCCGACAACAACGAGTTGGCAGAGGTAAGCGGTAGGGTTTCCACTGCTCCGCGAGGTGGAAGGAGTACTCTCTTTAGTGACCGAATGCGCCTCAGTACATTTCTCCTGCCTACACTTTTCCATTTACAAGAGGTTCTGCAGCACACAGACATCCTGGGAGCAGCGCAACATTGCCTGTTGCTATGCAAGAAGTATCAGTGCTGAGTGCTGAGGCCTGTTTTTGTGCTTCGAGCAGCTTCCCCGGGATGATATCACTGCAATCTTTTTCTGTACAGTTTATGCGAAGTGGCAGCTTCGCAGACAAGTACGTGACTGGCCACGACACGCCCCCTCCTCCCCCCCCCAGTTCGAGCTACAGCCCAGTCACGTATTGCTTTGGATACTGTTGAAAGGGATTGCAGCGCAGCTGACATACTGCTTGCTCCGGGGAAAACGTCAAACGTTGGTGAGGATGAGAAGTCTCCGATAAGGTTGTACGGACTTGCAACACAGCTGCCAAACACAAAGCTATCCAACGGCCTTGAGAACGACGTAATCCTCCCAATGCTGGCCCCGCTGAGCACCCTGATGTCTTTCGATGCACATGGGGTGCCCTTGTGGCCGGGCCGGTCTTGTCTGCAGGACAAGGTGCAGGCGAGGAAAGCCAGACACGCGCACGGGCGGTCTGGACACGACCCGCTCCGAGGGGTCGGTGTGAAGTAGTTGCAAGTGGCCGCTCCCGCACGGCCTGGACACGAGTGACCACGAAGGTCCAGGCGACCAATCGGTCGCACCCGCGCGGTCTGGCAGCGACCCGCAGCGGGGCGCAGTGCACACACGGCGGCACGGGAGGGGCAGACCTACACTAGGCCCTACAACACACTTGAACCGCTGCGGCGGGGGTAAGGGGGGTTCTCCTGCGGTTCGGGCGCTAGGAGGAGCACTTCCTACTCTCACCTTGGACGGAACCTCTAGGCCTCGACGTGCAAAACGCGCAGCACGAACGAACGGGTCGCCGGACGAAACGACAGACGACGAACGAACTTAAATCCCTCCGTCCATCGACCGGCGGCAAAGGAGAGAGCCCGCCCGTACTCCCAACACACCCGCCCCGCGCCCAGAAAAACCCGAACAGACCCCACATCCTGAGCATCAGAACGCGTGTGGGGTGGTTTTGGTCCGACCGCGTCGCGTCATGTTTTGTGCGCTTGTCTGCACGCGAACGGCTCACACCTAGAGCCTCGAGAGCGGAAGCCGACCCCACATTCAACCGGCAAAACGACCTCTGACAGGGATCCCTCGGCGGAGACACCTGGCTCCCGCACGACCGGCGCCAGCGCCCCATCGCCTGAAAAGAGCTCGAGAGGCTCCTCCCCGTCATATCGCAGAAGCTCACGGCTTCCGCCCCCAGGCTCGGCGCATCACGTTGCTGGAAGGCAAGGCCGCGGACGACTGCCGCCCTGGCACCGAAATTTTCGTTCGGCGCAAAATCGCGGCCAGGGGTACGTCCGATTGGCGCGGACTGATCCTCGGCGGCAGAGCTTTGGACTGCGCCGGAAGGATGGGCCTGGGATTCAGGCCGGGTCCCGACTTTCACATCCTCGTAATTTTGGGAATTAGGATGTCCAGGTGCGAGGATCACACCAGGACTCGGAAGGACAGGGCCTATCCGTTCGAAGCGCGGTTGTCAAGCCTGGACGACGCGTCGCAGGACAGCCGCCCTTTTGAGAGGAACCGGGGCCCGCGCGGCAATTCCGTGAACGAATTCCGGGTGGACCCACTTCTCAAGGCGAACCACCGGGAAGCCGGGATCCTCAGTGCCGATCCCCAGCTCAGCTGCCCGGTTCATCATACCGACCACGAGCTCCTCGGTAATGTGGCTCGCTCCCGCACCAGCCGTCGAGCATACACTCGACTTTGCGGTGCTGGTAGCCCCCTGGCTCATTGTCCGCCAGGTTCCACCAATCCTTGGGCAAATCATCCAAGGTGGCGAACTTGTCCCGCCCGCCCTTGCTCAACGGGAGCGCGTGCTGCTGCACCGCGGCCGGTCCGGCGGCGCCCGGGGCGCCCGCCAGGACGCCTGAGCTGCCGATCTGGACACTGAATGCGGCGAAGGGATTTGACATGGAGGCACCGGAGGGGGGAGCCCAATTGGCAGGCAGGGCTGGTGACCCTCTGCTGGTGGTCAGGTTGTGGACCATGTCACAGCTGGCTCCTTTCTTGCACGACCCGTTTTTGGAGAAAAAGGGGCAAACGGTGCCTGGTGGCTTCGCCGCGCCTTTGGCCGCAGCCTTAGGCTTCGCTTTGGCTTTCGTCTTGGTCCGCGCCAGCTCTGGCCGCGGCGGCTGCTCCCTTCGCAGCGGCCTTAGCAGTGGCCTTGAGACTCTTGATCTCCTTCTGAGCCTAGGCTAGCGCGACCGCCGCCCTGCGAACCGGTGGCGGTGTACACATCCAGAGCACCAGCATCCACCACGATACCATGCGCCCGCAGCGCGAGAACAACGCGGGAGATGCGCGTCAAGTAGTCCGCGACCGGCTCCTGGTCGGGACGGTAAAGGGCGCGCAAGTCCGCCTGAAGACTCTCGGCGGTGCCCGGCACGGACCCTGCTGTCGACGGCGGACCGGACGGTCCCGCCTTACGGGACCCCGGCGCCGACTCAGGCACGTAGGCCGTGCCAGTGCGCACCATAGCGAGTTCGCCTGCCGCGGCGTGGACACCCGCCCGCGGTGGCGGATCCTCTTCCACGCCGGCACCTTCCGGGATCAACTCGCTATCGTCTTCCTCCTCCTCTTCTTCTTCCTCTTCCACTTCCACGTCGTGCAAAAACTGCATGACGCGGCGCCAGAGAGCCGCCTCCTGTTCAGGCGTCGTGCTGATGCCATCACGTTTTGTCACTGGCCGGCTTCCTGTGTCCTTGCGCCATTTGAGCCAAGTGACATAGGACATCTTCTCTGGATACGGGACTTCCCCGCTCTCTATCGCCTGGAGGAGAGTGACGCCCTCAGGTTGGCCCGCCACTTCTGAGGACATGGCTGCGACGCGCGGCGAAACGCCGCGCCTTGGATCTCAGGCCGCAAGCGTGGAACTCAGTCCACGCGTCCTGGACACGGACCAACGCAGTGCTCGCCCACAAAGGCCGTAGGCACAAGAGCTGAACAGTTTCCCAGAACGGCCCCCAATTGTGAAGTCGACCAACACGGTCTTGCACTAAGCCAATGCAAACACGAGTGGCCACGCTGCTTTTGACTTCGCGGGAACACCAGCTCCGAAGGTGTCCTACAGCCAAGCGTCCGGTCGGACCGCTCCGCAACCTAAAAGCTACAGAACGAAACTACCGAGCACAACAGCTACAAGTCTACTCACATGCTTGAGCCAAAATATTGGCATAGAAACGAATTGCAAAACTACGTGCAAAGGAAAACAACAAACTAATACGCTGGCAAACAGCAAGCACATCATGCATGCTTTGGCCTGCTCACACCTGGCGTATATCGAACAGACGTTTCATCACACTTATGGAAGAACGTGAAACTTCTCCTTCGAGTACGCAAACTGCTAAGCAAGCCCAACAACGTGCGTGAAACAGCTTCTTGTGGACTGTCCGTTGAGCTTGTTTCCGTTTTTGCCTTTTAACACCGACGGGTCACAACAGACTGCCCACTGACATGCTGAGGTATGAAAACCGTCCAATTTTGAACGCACTGCGGAACCTGCACGAGGCCACACATTCACATGCCTTTTGTGGCCTTTGCTGGAGGTGCTCTGAGCAGCTTTTCTCGAAAACACACCCTCGCAGAGCTTTAGCCGAGAAGCTTCAACGGAGTGGATATGGAACAACCGAGCAAGTCAATGCATTGAGTAAAGTTAGGTTTTCGACTGTAGTTGTCGCGCCTGGTGTGTATCAAAAACGACGATTCCTGTGGCCGAAACTGTGGCGCCAGTGTCTGGTTCAAGACCTCCCCTGCTGAGCTATGTTGCAGACACGGTCCCGGTGAAAACACCAAGTCTCGTGCCCCATACATTCATCTCATCAAGAATTAAGAAGCATGTGCCGCATGGAGAACCACTACGATGGCACATGGTCGGGAAGATAGCTTCAGCTTCGTGGTTTTTGCGTGATGCTGAAGGACTACATTCAGGTCATCTATGCGCACCTGCTGTTGGCAGTCCTGGCAATAATGCGTGAGCACGGCCTATGTGAATTCTTGCATGTGTCTTCTCTCACGGACGACAAGCCTGATGAGGACAAGAGCTTGAATGAAGTGAAAACAGCCCTGATGGTTGAACTGCTGGCGATTGCTTGCATGGGCGTGCCTGTCTTCGGAGGAATCGGCCTTGGATCCATGTGCATGCTTGCAATACTTTTTTAATTACGTCCTTGTCTGCTCTACTTGCTGTTTTTTCCGACAGCCTGACCACTAGTGGATGTTCCTGTTTCCGTTGCAAGCCCAGGATACTTCATTGTGCACTTGGGCGAGTATTGGAGCTGCCGAGATAGCTGGTACTTACTCTTCTGGATCGGTGTGGGTGGAACTGTCTTTGATCAAGTCGCCGGGGCCAAACTGTTGAGTGTAAAGTTCCTCAATAGTCTGAGTTCCTTTGGTTTACCTTTGAGGTACAGCGAAAGTTTCGTTTGGTGAAGTACCCGTGTCTCTCTTTTTCTGTTGTTTCACAACAGGCATCTTTAAATCGTTGCCCAAAAGCCTGCTACATGGGAAGCCCGCTACGTTTATTCGAAAAGACTTTCATCCCAACTCTGTCGTTGCAAGCGCATGCAGGTCAACCTTCTCAGCTACATGTACACATTAAGCACAGGAGGAGGAGGGCTTTACATCTATGATGGCATTGACCCCATTTCGCCCAACTGTGACCAGTTGGCATGCATGGTCTTTATCTTGACCGTGCGCCTCACACATGCAAAAAAGAAAGTGCAAGAGGAGAAGGAGTATCTGCGTGAGAAGATGAACTTGCCAGCCCGTGCATCTGCACCTCAGAAGAGGCAGCAAGATCGTCTCCCTCCTGTTGCAAAGTGGATCTGGTGGTGTTTGATACCACTGCCGATCGCAGCGGTCCGATTTGCTGTATCGCTTGTGTTGATTTGCGTCGCAGTCGACCGTCATGGAGACAATCTCAGCTCCTCTGCTTTTTGGAGTTCGCTCCTGGCCGCCAGGTTGTTCAGTGGAGTTGGACTTTTCCTTGTGTTGCGCGGCATGTTTGAGACAATCTTCGAGCAGGTCGTTGCCATCGAGGGCAATCTGGACATCATGAAAGGCGTTTTGGAAAAGCTCCCACGAGCGTTTGCCGATGACAACCGGCCCGAAGAAAGCCGGCCTCTCCTAGAGGATGGAGATCCAAGGATATCGCAGGAAAGGGATACTGGGAATGCAGAAGGTTGCCTATGACTGTTCGGGGCATCACAGACCTTCCAGTAACTCAACAGCTAGTTACACTTAGTCGTGTGAGCTTTGTCCTTTCAAGTGACTTGGGCATGTAAGTTCATGTAAGGACGGTCTTCAGCAAGGGCAAGCACAGTGCAAAGGCGATCGGCGCCATACAGCCGTCGACAAGATGCGGCGGTTGAACGCTGAGGCTCTGAAGCTACAGCGGCCTGAGTCAGGTCATGGCCTGGACACAGTGTTAGAGGGGGACGAACCGGAAACGTTCAAGGAGTGGCTGATCGATTGGCACTACACGCGAGTCGACTTCCTCGACGAGCAGTTCGGGTCGGATGCCGTGATGGGCATTTGCGTGGTGACCATGTTCTTCTGTGCCTTGCAACTGTTGGCCAGTTGGCTGTGCTATGACCCGAGTCAGAGCAACTTCACCTACCAGGGCCTGCACTCTGCCATGGCCTTTGCTTTGACCATCACCTTTGGCGGGATCTTCTTGTATCTCTCGAACGTCTGCATCAAGGCAGATCTGGCCCGACCTTCTGTCGAAGGGGGGCTGGGGATGTTTCCTCTTTGCCTGCAGCAAGCCGCTCATATTGAGACCGCCCAGACTTGGCATCATAAGCCTTCCCGTGATTTGGGTTGTTTCTCCCTAAACTAACAGTCCTTCATAGGGGTTATAGTACCCCTATTACAATCCCTGTTCAGAAGGGGAAACATCCCAATTCATGATCTTCGACATGCTGTACTATGCCGGTACATCCCCAAGTCCTGCTTAAACAGGCCGTCGTTTTTCGGGCCCTAAACCCTAATGTTTAAACCCTAAACCCTAAACCCTAAACCTTAAACCCTAAATCCTAAATCCTAAACCCTAAACCCTAAACCCTAAACCCTCAACCCTCAACCCTAAACCCTAAACCCTAAACCCTAAACCCTAAACCCCACAGGTGAACGACCTCTTCCTGAAGATGTTGACGCGGCTGGACGAGCTCAGCGCCCAAAGTTGGCGTGAGAACGGTTACGAGGACAGCGAGGGATGGCTTAAGCTTCAGGGTTTAGGGTTTGGGGTTTAGGGTTTAGGGTTTGGGGTTTAGGGTTTAGGGTTTAGGGTTTAGGGCTTTAGGGCTTTGGGGCTTTGGGGCTTTGGGGCTTCTAGAGGAACACCTCTCGTAGCAGCATCCTCGGGTCCCACGGGGCTTTTGGTTTGTGGGTCCTCGGGTCCCCTTGTTGCCCCTACAGTTTTGGGAATTACTTTTTTTTCATGTAAAAACCGAAGAGGATATTGAACAATATTGTTTTTGTCAAGGTTCTAAGGGGAGTATGGAGTCATGCTCTTTCTGCTTCCTTGCCCGTCCTTAAAACGCCCTTCCCCTCCTCTGCCTGGAGGTTCATGGTACTTATTGACCATTAGAACTGTCCCGATGACCCACTTGTAAGCCCCTTTAAGTGCCCTAATATGTTTATAATTGGGGTATCAGTACAGTTATTGAAAAAGTACCATGAACCTCCAAGTGGGCATCTTCCCGCAGAATGGTGCTGTGGCACACGGGGGGTTTGCGAAAATAGGGGACCCCCAATACAGATGCCCAAATTTTAGGATTCCCTTCTATTCAGAAGCCCAAATAAGGAACCCCCCCCCAATATAGGAAACCCTGGCACCCTGCATCGAGCCTCTTAAAGCCTCCTCGATACAGTGTCATGCGCCCGTCTGCAATAGAGTCCACAGAGCGCAATGTGTCTGGCCGACTAATGATGACTTTGCCTTCGCCCAAGCTAGAGAAAGGGCGGTCATGGCCCGACCCGAATATTCTACCTGCCATCGTCCCGCAATTTTGAGTTTTGTTTGGCTGACCAAGATTTCTCCACTTGGCCCCTGCAAAAGCCCGAATCCGCAACACCCGTCAGCCAAAGGAAGGGCACATCCGTATGATTCACGATTTCAAGGCCGTGATTGAAGCCGAAGGCTGGGAGTTGCTTTACGACGTGACTCATGGGCTTCTTTAGGATGTTGCAGCATGGCAACCCAGCACATACGCCGCATACGCATGCTGCCCCTTTTCGACAACTAGTGGGGGAATCAGAAGCTCGATTGGGGCTGCCCACTTTCAGCGACCATCTCGGGGTTTTCGTCACTTGAGGCGCGCATGACAACCGTCAAGTGTTCTGTCCCCAGGAATGGCGAACGTCGACCCTCCAAGTGTTTGCGTTGCCCTAGCGACAGGTGTTTTAGGTGTTGCCGTCGCGAAAGACAGCCCTCGCGGTGTATTCGTTGAAGTTTCAGTTGCGGAAAGTATAACATCGTCATGAAGAACATGGGACGCGCGTGTTTTTGTCGGCGAAGTACGACGTCGTCGCAAACCACATGGGCTCGCATGAAGGCTGCATGGATTACAATTCTTAGTCTTAAAGAAGCGAAATCGTTACAAATCACATGGATTCACATGTTGTGTTGGTGTAGGGCAAGTATGAAATCGTCATCAGTCACAAGGCAACCTCTGTCCGAATGTGCATGGAGTCGTTGCACGGCGCAGCGTTTCCACAGTTTCCTTGAGGATCTCACAGCAAGTGCATGAAATGGGGCGCAAGAGTAGCTGAGTGGCCTCAGCGCCGGGGGGCGACGTGCTGCAGCAGGGCCAAGGGCCATGCGTGTGTGTGGCGGCAAATGGCGAGCAGTCATATCACCGGTATGTCTTGGATGCAGGGTTGAGTTGTGACACAAAGCCTGCACTCTCCCGACAGAGGCTCGCCACATACCTTTCTTGGGTACACCATGAGCTGGCGCTTGGTCTTCACAATCTTGACCCCACTGTTTGCCCCGACGCTGGCAAACATCAAACCCCTGCTGCGAGTTGCGCAGAACCATGTACATGAAGCCGTCTGGAACAGCGAAGAGCTGAATCAGACGAGCCGCGATGCTCACTATTGGCTTAGCCACCTGGCCAATGCAAGCCACGTGAACCAGCTGCTTTCAATATGAGAGAAGCTGGGAGTAGCACTCGAGAGAAGAGCACCCTAAACGCAGCCATCCTCCCCTGCTAAGATGTAGGGTTTAGGGTTTAGGGTTTAGGGTTCAGGGATCAAGCCGCGATGGGTTCTTTGTCTGTGGGCTCTCCTCATGGATGATCCCAAACAAGGCTTGCTTGACTGGTCTTCTGCACTCTCTGGTGACATGAAGGGGCAGTTGATCTGGCGGTTCCTTTTCAAGTATAACTATGGCACCTTGCTGGGGTCCCTACGAAGTTGTGTAGCTAGGGCACCCCCCCAAAAGGGACATACCCATCATTTAGAGAAGCGCCGTGTATCTACAGCTCAGGGCCGGGGATGATCATTCGGAGACTTCTGGCCCAGATGCGCGTCCCTTGCAAGACGTCGAACTCCTTGCTTTCGGGATGAGCGGGGTCTAGCTTTTCTTTTTATATTACGTCGTGGCAAATATGGTGTGTTATGCAATATGCCCGTAGACTACGCGGTAGCGGAGCAGAGAATCTACGACATAGCATACCATGGTGCGGCACTGCTGCAGCATTCGATATCGCGATACGACGCGCGCTTGCTGTCCCATGCACATGGCAATTCCGATAGCTCCGCGATAACTTGCCCACAGCCGGCTTACGCCTGAATGTTTTGTCCCTACCATGGACAACTAAGCTATGCACGATGCGATGGACACGAGGTTGTTCTATACTGCGTGCGACACCACAATGCAGCACCGTAGTTTCCTCAAATCGACTCTTGTTATGCTGTAGCGTACTGCGTAGAAAGTCCGGCTGCGAAGATTGATGTTTGGGTGTGGATGTCTGTTGCAAACATGTTGTCCATTCGAATGATGGCTACTGGTGGCGAGGTGGCTCGTCTCAAACTGAAGGACCTGCAGCGCCAAGGTGAAACTGAGAATATGTGCCGCGCGCGCGATCTGAAGCTCTTTCTTCAACAGTTCTGTGGACATCCCCGCTTCCGACAGAGACTCCTGCAAGAAGATGGGCAGATACTGCCTGATGAGGCAGTTCTGGAAGCTAAAGATGTGCTGGGCCCCTTGCAGCTGGTGTTGCTGGGCTTTGCCGACGCTTCTGAGGAAAACATTGACCAGTTACACCGAGCAATAGAAACACAAGACATTGGCCGCATCGAAGCCATCATGCAGAGACCCCAAGACCCAAACGTGGCGAATCAGCGCAGCCTTGTAGCCTTGCATGTTGCAGCGGCCGTTGGTTGCAACATGGCCGCTAGGCTGCTGCTTGAGGCTGGCGCAGACAAGGATGCAGCCACGACAGATGGAGCATCGCCTCTTTTTATCGCATCTCAACACGGCCACTTGGAAGTGGTGCGTTTGTTGCTGGAAGCTGGCGCGGACAAGGATGCTGCCACGACAGATGGAGCAGCGCCTCTTTTTATCGCATCTCAACACGGCCACTTGGAAGTGGTGCGTTTGTTGTTGGAAGCTGGCGCGGACAAGGATGCTGCCATGACAGATGGAGCAGCGCCTCTTTTCATCGCATCCGGAAACGGCCACTTGGAAGTGGCACGCTTGTTGCTGGAAGCCGGCGCGAACAAGGATGCAGCTAAGACCGATGGAGCAACGTCGCTTTTCATCGCATCTCAAAACGGCCACTTGGAAGTGGTGTGCTTGTTGCTAGAATCCGGCGCAGACAAGGATGCAGCCATGAGAGATGGAGCAACTCCTCTTCTGGTGGCATCTCATCGCGGTCACTGGAAAGTTTTGCACTTGTTGCTGGAAGCTGGCGCGGACAAAGATGCAGCCACGACATCTGCCGCAAAGCCGCTTTTCATCGCAGCTGAAAATGGCCACCTGGAAGCGGTGCGTTTGTTGCTGGAAGCTGGCGCGGACAAGGATGCAGCCAACACAGATGGAGCAACGCCTCTTTTCATCGCGTCTCAAAATGGCCACTTGGAAGTGGCACGTTTGTTGCTGGAAGCCGGCGCGAAAAAGGATGCAGCTCTGACAGATGGAGCAACACCTCTTTTCATCGCGTCTCAAAATGGCCACTGTACCATGTTGCGGTTGTTGCTGGAAGCCGGCGCGGACAAGAATGCAGCCATGAGAGATGGAGCAACATCGGTTTTCATCGCATCTCAAAACGGCCACTTGAAGGTTTTGAGTTTGCTGCTGATAGCAGGTGTAGACGTGGATGCTGCCATGACGGATGGAGCAACGCCTCTTTTCATTGCAGCTGAAAAGGGCAACTTGGAAGTGGCGCGTTTGCTGCTGGAAGCTGGCGCGGACAAAGATGCAGCCACGACATCGGGAGCAACGCCTCTTTTCATCGCAGCTGAAAATGGCCACTTGGATTTGGTGCGTTTGTTGGTGGAAGCTGCCGCGGACAGGGATGCAGCCATGACAGATGGAGCAACACCTCTTTTCATCTCAGCTCTAAACGGGCATGTGGAAGTGGCGCGGTTCCTGCTGGCAGCTGGTGCGGACAAGCATGCCAAGACACGGGCAGCTTGCGCAGACGCAGTTGCGCATAAGCGCCGCCGAACAGGTTAAATTGTCGGCCAAGCAGAACGATAGTCGTGCGGACAGCGAGTAAACAGCGGCAAACCAGAGTTGCGTGCAGTGCAGTCAACGATAGTACTAGCAGGGTTCTCTGTTCTATTCAGATGATTTGTTCAGACTTGATCAGCACTGAAATGGCTATGCTGATGCTCTAAAGAAAGGATGGTCCAGAGTAGTTGGGCAAGAGAGGAACTTTTCGTGTAAAGTATTCAGTTGAGCTTGTTTTGATTGCTCCCAAGTGCCTTACCTCACAGGTTAAAAATGCGAAGCCTTGCACTGAGGGTAGTGTGGCGTGGCATATGTACTCTGGGCTGCAGTTCGTGCACGTGTACAGCATGCAACATACGAGACCTGGGCCCACATTCACCAGATGTAGAGTGCCAGATTGGGCCCGGCCCAAGCGAATAGTCTTGCAAATTGGAGTTGCAACATCCACGGCGGCTGCCGGGGCAAGATGGGCATTCCCAAGTACCACAAATGGCTGACGGAGCGATACCCTGATGCATTCACGGAGGCCAGCCACGAGAATGCTGACCACGTGTACGTAGACATCAACACGCTGCTCCATGACTGCATGCGCTATGCTGCCAGTGAGGATGGCTTCTACCAGCACCTTTTCGCCAAGTTGGATTCCCTTTTCCGCATCGTTGTGCCGTCCAAGACTGTGTTTTTGGCAGTGGACGGCCCGGCGTCCTGTGCGAAGTGCTTGACGCAGCGCCAGCGCCGCAGGGCACACGCCCAGAAGGATTCCAAGAACTCCAAGGGAAGTGGCAAAGGCAAAGGCAAGCGAGGCAAGTGGGGTGGTAGTGATGTGGCCCCACAGCTGTCTAACAACATGCTCACGCCGGGTGTGCCGTTCATGACAAAACTAGCCGATGGTCTCGAGTACTATGCTGCCAGCCGCATGACTGGCAATGGGTGTTTGGCCTGGTGCCAGGCAGTCACTGTCAGTGGAGCACAGGCCATCGGCGAGGGTGAGCACAAGATCGTATCCCAGATGCTGCGGAATGCTGCATGCGACCATGCCTCCACAGAGTCCCATGTCATCTCCAGTGGTGACGCAGACATCTTCCTGCTTTCTCTGGTTCAGAGTGCATGCCGTCGGGTGCGCGTTGTTTCGGACAGGCCGGACGCGGCCGGACAGAAGCGACGCAGAGGCACGCTGCAGATTTGGAACGCAGAGGTGCTCGCCAGGTACATCCAGGCGGAGCTGACGCGAGCGCCCAAAAAGTCGCCAGTACCCGAAGCTGAGGCGACCTTGCGCCGGGACTTCGCTCTAGTTTCGCTGCTCGCTGGGAATGATTACTTGCCGGAGCTGAAGTGTAGCCTAAGCTCCAAGCAGCTTTGGGAGCAATACCTCAGCTTACGACGAAAGCAGTTCCCATCAGCATCACTTATCCAGAGCTCCTTGAGGGATGGCCTGCCACTCTCACACCAGGAGGGCGGCTGGGCTCTTTCAGTGGGCGAGGCTGGTGCCGCTTTCTCCGCTGAGCCCTATGAGCACTTTTCATTCAACTTGCAGCTGCTGTCGAAGTTCATGACAGTCGCAGCTGGGGGACCGGGTGTTCAAGGCAGTGTCTCAGGTAGGGCGGCCGAGGGGGTCCGAAAGTATCTGGAAGGCTTGCTTTGGATCTTGGAGATGTATCACCACGGGTATTGCGGGGATTTCTACTTCGTGCTGGAGAAGAGCCTGCACAGCTTTGCGAGCGCGCGCCTGATAGCCCAGTTCCTCCCATCGCTGCAGTCGAAGGCTGCGGAACCTCTGGCCCCTCCGAGGTCGGAGCAGCAGCCTATGAGGCCAATCTCATGTGCGATCTGCATCCTTCCGGCCCAGAACGCGGAGCAGTTCCTCTGCGCTGGCGCCCCGATGCTTCGGCCCATGTTCCAGGTGGATCATGCCTTGCTCGGCCCAGTGAATGCCATCGAACGTTCTGAGGAACTCCGGGATTGCAAGCAGAGGGTCACGTCGCTCCAGCAGGAGATGATGAGCCTGCGTGCACAAGGCCTTGATGACAAAAGTGTGAAGGCACAGCTGACCGCCGCCCAGCAGCAAATGGAGAGGATCAAAAGCAGAAGTGGCGGAAGCGACATCGACGTGGTCCCTCTTTGGCAGGTGGACGATGAGGTCGCCGAGAGGTGCAGCAGCCATTCGGTGCCGGAGTTGGAGTTCAGGCCGGACGTGACACTGCTGCGCGATGCAAGCAGCGAGGCATTGAGTCTTCAGGCTCCCGCACGCGGCATGAGGCCCGCGCACTGCAAGGGGCTTGCCTACATCACTGGCGAGTGGCCTCAGGTGACAGCGTGGGACGAGACGGATGAAGCGTTGGATGAGGCCTCGGCTGAGGCCGACGAGGCCCTCCTTTGGACTGAAGAGGCTGAGGCTGAGACAGCTGAAGCTGTCGATGCCGAGGTTGATGAAACCTGCGAAGCCTACGAAACTTACGAAGCACTGGATGAGGATGTTGCTGAGCCCGGTGAGCCGGGTGACCCCAATGAGCCGCTGGCCTCACTTGAGGAATCTTTCCAGGTGGGAGACGCAGTGCAGGCGTACTGGCCGGATGACGACGAGTACTTGCCGGCCACGATCACCCTGCTCCACGGCGACGGCTCTTTCCAGATCGTTTGGGATGTCGACGGATCGCAGAGCGACGTGAAGGCTGACTACTTGAAGTTCTTGTCTGCTTCAGAGGAACTCGTCGATCTCGAGCCACCTGCCAAGCGAGCTCGCCTGTCAACTTGACCCGACCTTTTGTCCTTGACCATGGAGGCCCGCGCCGATGGGGTGCAGCTGCGCGAATCTGGTGTACGACGCGCAGCTCTATCGCCACTGGGAGCTGCAAGATGGAAGGGTTCACTGCGGAGCTTACGTAGAATGAAGTTCGCCCTCTTCGCCTTCGTCACGCTGATCCCGGCCCAGGTCATGAGCAAACCAACGCCTGCTTTGCTGCGCTCCGCGCACGAGGAAGGAGATCAGAATCCATGTTTGCTGAGACTTGATCTGCCACGCGTACCGCCAAAAAACTCTGCCAACGCGCAAGAATCCGTTATTGTCAGGCTTGGACATTCTTGTGGAGCTCCCTTTGCGCATATCTGATGTTACTTGTACCCTCTGGTGACTTTGGCTCGGGCCATCATGTTGCTACCCGTACGCTCTTGTGACTCTTGCGGCTCTAGCAAGCTGCCTGAAGCGGCTGCTGAAGGGACATTTGAAGATAAACTCTACATGAACATGGAGGCAGAGAGGGTCAGAGAGACTCCTCATGGTGGTATGCAGAGAAGACAAGTGCTTCGTAAGAACATGTCGCAAGTGCAGCACCTCGACACAGCATGCAGAGTAGAAACCCAGTTCGATGCCACCACAGCTTTTGCAGGGCACGAAGTCTCTTAGCAAAAAGGCCGAGCCATGAGTCATAAACCCTGTCGGCAAAACCGCCCGGTGGTGGTCTCAGCTTCCTGAACTTGGCTTCTTTCCTTAGAGCCTGCTTAGAGCCCAAACTCTCTTCACTTCCGAAGGCGCTCTTGGCAAAGCTTTCGGTCTTCCTGCTGTTGTGGTGGTCGGCGTCGCGTGGCCGCCCGCGTCTCAAAGGGTTGCTTCGGGAAGTCCTCCGCTCGTCCTGTGCTGTTGGAGCTGGACTGAAGGCTCCTCTGCTTGGGCCCCTGGGGCGGCTTTCTGCAGCCAAAAGGTCCTGGAGCATGGCAGGCAAGTCGGCTACGTGTGTCATGAGGGCTCTCATGACTCCACGACGCAGAACGCAGGATGCGGGACTGGCGTACTTGCCGTGCGGCTGTTGCTGCGCCGTCCGCAGTCGATGCACCGCAAGACAGGCCGGGTAGCGTCGACGGCAGCTGCTACTGAGTTACTGCTACTGCTACGAATACTGCTGCTGCTACTACTGCTGCTGCTGCTGCTGCTGCTGCTGCTGCTGCTGCTGCTGCTGCTGCTACTTCTGCTTCTGCTGCTACTGCTGCTGCTTGCTACTGGGAGGCACTATGTTGGAGAAGGATAGCAGTACAGGGCTACAGATTGCTTGGGTAGCAATGTTTTTGAATTGTTTGGGGCAGCAATGTTGAAGAAGATACGCTGGCCGCGGCGTTCTTACCCCTTCATGGCACCGCCAGAAGCACCGAGAACAGAACACGAAAAGCAGTGTACGGTTAAAGGGGCGCTGGCACCTTGCAAGTACGGTAACTACGTGCCACGTATTACGTACTCTGTGTACTCTGTATGTGCTCTACGTACTTTGCGTACCATATACGTACTATGCTCGTACTGTACGTACTGTACACGTAGATATGGACTATACGTACTGCGTACGTACGTCGTACGACGTCGGCGACTACGACGACGACTATGCGACGGCGACAAGGACTACTTCTACTACTGCTCCTCCTACTGCTCCTAGGAGAACTACGAGACCATGACAACAAAGCATAGCAGTTTTGCCTGATATCGTGGCGGCCGACAGCTCCTATTACTCATCAGGCCGGCCAACAAAACGTCAGTCAAGGCCGGGACCTCAGAGCCTCAGAGCCATCCTGAGGGGTGGCAAACTGGTTCTTGGGATCTCTGGGCGTTTTTCTTGTCTTTCTTGAGTTGTTTCATTCTGTTTTTTTAATTTGGGGGGGGAGCTTTGTTCTTTTTTTTTGGGGGGGGGGAGCTTTGGGGTTGTTTTCGTTTTGCAGGGTTTAGGGTTTAGAGCTCAGCGGCTTCGGGAATGCAAAAAAGGGGGGTGTTCAGCTGCAGGAAGCACTTGACGAGATCGTGTCAGCCTACGCGAGCAGCGGCGACCTGTCCGTCGTCAAGCAGTCCTTTGAGCAGATGGGTGCGCAAGGCGGGGTCCGATGCCCGTGGCGCCCTTGCTTCTTAAACGGGGCTTAGGGTTCCTGGGTGTAGGGTTTATGGGAGAAGCTTCCGAAGGGCTCAAGGCGTAAGCACTTGATCCCGAGATCCATGCTCTCCTCCATAGTAGACACTGAATTGGCCCCTTGTCGTGACTCGATGGATCTTGTGCCCACCCATGAGCCGGAAGCCTGTTCAAAGGATTTTTTCCGGCGGGGAGCTGTCTTGCAGAGAGCTTATGTAAGGTGAGTTCGAACTCCTACTCACGTTGTAGAAGTCCTGGAAACAGGTTCTAGAGACCACATGTCAGAGAGGAAGTTCAACGCATTGTAAGTGATATGTGCGGAGTATGTCTGAATATGCGGGGGCTGTGCAGATGCGTCACGCAGGTGCTGTCCTTAGCCACCTTCGAAGATGCCTTATGCCAGCCGCATGTACCGACTTCATGAGCACACGACAACCACTTCATATACTCAGCCGTTGTCTACCCCCCAGGAAAACTTCTCAGACTTTGCCCTGGGCAGGTGTTGTTCTGCATCCCTCTGCTTACAAGCAGCCGCTGAAGGCGGGCTCTGTGTTCTCAGTTCTAAGTCATCTTCAGAGTGCCCGAACGTATGAAGCTCCAAAGTCGCCAGAGCCCCATAGACTGCACTTCGATCCTCCCTGTGAGAGGCTCCGTGGACCGAGGGGCTTTGCGTGGGAATTTGCAGCTCCCCTACTCGTAGGGAATGGGGGAATAAGGTGCTATACATATAATCCCCTGAAAAATGGGGTTTTTTGGAGTGTCATGGGTGGTCATGGTTGCAGTTGCGGTGTGAGGGCCTTCTGGTTTCAATGTGGCGAGCAGAGAGAGCTGCCAAAGCCGGCTCGGCATGATGCCCCTAAACCCAAAACCCTAAACCCCAAACCCTAAACCCTATATAAACCCTAAACCCTAAACCCTAAACCCTAAACCCTAAACCCCAAACCCTAAACCCTAAACCCTAAACCCATGCAGGTTTGTGCCAAAGCCGGCCGACCAGAAGACGCCCGGTCCTGGATGTCCTACATGGTTGAGAAAGAGGCGGGGGTTTTCCCTAACCCTGAACATGCCTGAACCGGTAAACTCCCTATGGCTCCCTAAGCCTTAAAAACCCTACGAAGCCAGGTCCAACCTGATCCGCGGGCCACTCAGACCGTGGCCAGGCTAGTGTGGGGCTTTGGGACATCTTTGCTGAGTGACACCAGGCGCACACCCATGATGCTGTGCCTGCTGTGCCTGCTGTGCGGGGTGCATGACATGTGACCCTTGCCTCAAGCCTTTCGTCTCTTGTCCCTGGTGACAGCGCTTTCTGCAATGGTGCCTTGGCCTGCATCGGGTCTTGACTCTTGAGTTGCTGGTGGCCAGGCTCGGCTCTTGTAAGCAAGGCAGTGCAGCTGTGGCGACCCTCAGCCCCAAGCTCAACACTCCAAAGCCCCAAATCCCCTCATCCGAAGCCCCGTACCTAAACCTGTGAAGGGTCTGAACCCTAATCGCCCAAAGCCCCAAAACCCAAAACAAACCTTCTAACCCCTAAGCCCTAAACCATCAAACCCCCCCACGCCTCCCTCTACTTGGAGGTTCAGGGTACTTCAATTATAACGGTACTTATAAGCCCCCGAAGTCCCCTAAGTAGGTTATAAGTAGACTCATACCTGGGCTTATCGCCCTAAACCCTGAACCCTAAACCCCAAAACCCCAAAACCCCAAAACCCCAAAACCCCAAAACCCCAAAACCCCAAAACCCCAAAACCCTAGACCCTGGGGTCATAAGTACCCATGAACCTCCAAGTACGGGGGGCCCAACATGGAGCCAAGAGGCTTTCCGATGCATCCTGGCCGCCCTGGCAGCGCGCTGCGCTGCCCTGGACCACCCCCTTGCGCAGGCTCTCGGGTTTAGGGTTTTAGGGTTTAGGGTTTAGGGTTTAGGGCCTAGGGTTTAGGACTTAGGGTTTAGGGCCTAGGGTTTAGGGCCTACAGTAGGGCTTAGGGCCTAGGGCTTAGGGTTTGGAGAGGTTGTTGAGGGTTGTTGAGGGTTTCAGGCTGTGTGGGGTTGATGGGAGTGTTGTCGGGTTTTCATAGGCTATCCCGACTGCAAGGTGCTAAAACCCCAAGCCCTCAACCCTCGACCTCTGGCTGAGGCCCTAACCCTAAACCCTGCACCCTAAACCCTAAACCCTAAACCCTAAACCCTAAACCCTAAACCCTGAACCCTGAACCCTAAACCCTAAACCCAAAGACCCGAACCCCTAAGGCTTCCTGGGCCCCGAGCCTCAGGACAACGAGTGCTTCCAGAAGGAAGAGTGCTCCCTCCATGCCCTTCAGCGGCGAGCTGAAGCGAGGAAGCTCTGCGCACTCTGGGTTTAGGGTTTCGGGCTTAGGGCTTAGGGTTTAGGGTTTAGGGTTCAGGGTTTAGGGTTCAGGGTTTGGGGTTTGGGGTTTGGGGTTTAGGGTTTAGGGTTTAGGCTTTAGGGTTTAGGATTTAGGGTTTAGGGTTTAGGGTTTAGGGTTTAGAATGGCAGGAAGAGTCGACTAACCATAAAAGCATCTCGAAGCAATTATGAGTTGCTTGGCGTCTTCAGCGGGTGTCGTCTCTCGGATGAGTGCAGATGTGTCCACACACTTCAGACCGCTGGCATAGGGTTGCTTTAGGCTTGCTATGACTTTAACAGCCAGGTCTGCCGCGTGCTGTGTTCCCAGGCGTCCTAAACGCCCACTAAAACCGAGAACCTGGATCTTAAATGTCACGTGACATGCCCACACGCCATGGGAAGTGCAGAGTCTGCGTCAGGAAAGTTGCAGCGCATGCTGCGTCCCCTGATGTCGCCATACCCGGCATGGGAGAGACTTGTCTTTCATAGTGGCACGTTCAGGAAGGAGGTCATCGTAGTGACGGTCTTTGTCGTAAGTGGATTGGGCGGTCACACCCTGATGAGATCAGGGCACGGCGTGGGTTGTCGATGTTGCTGTCCCCCAAGGCCTGAACCCTAGACATACAGGACCTGCCAGAAGAAGGGGACGAGCCGGTGATTCAGGACAGAAGCCCTCTTGCATTTGCACTGATCTGCACCAGGCGCACCCAACCTTTCAATGTAACTAACCAAAACGTGGTTCAGGACACGGCCGAAGATGACTCCGACACGGCCGAGGATCTGGGAATCTGGGGTTCAGGTTTCGGGGTTGGCTTGGGGGCCAAGTTGGTTCCCTGAGGATGCAGAGGAGGACCAGAGTGAGGAGAGCTCGGAACAGGACACCCCGCAGGCGACGAGGGTTTCGAACTCTTCGGGCTATTTTTCTTCTTATTCTTAAAAAAAGATATGTATATCCATATATATATATATATATATATATATATATATATCTACTCTGATGATGTTCTTTTGGGGGTGCAGCCTCCGGATCAGGTCGAGGAGCCTGCGGGTGAGGGCCCGTGCTGGACTCAGATCTCTTCCTGGGGGGTTCGTGCTGAGAGTCTCTTTGATCGCGCTGCTCCCTGGGCATCAGGAGCATGCCGCCGCTTCCGTCCCGACCTCCCATGCCAGTGCCGAAGACCGTAAAGCTGCTCGGCAGACCTGGGAAATCCTTGGCAGCAAACATGGTTGGCCGTTTTTGTTTTTCAGGACCTACAGTGCTGAAGCTTGTATTTGACATGAGCAATTTGGTTGCAAAGCTTCTCAATACAGTTGTACCTCCTTTGCTACAGTATTGTCGGCTTTCTGCAGTCGTGGCACGAGTTGAGTTGGAGGTTCATGAACCCGGTCGTCGTCAAGAGCAACTTCCTCTATGACTCCGCCACTTGGCCATGTGTCTCAGTGTATTGTGCCGGGCTTTTTTTTTGGCACTGGGGATGCAGGGATGGCATGGCCCATCCAGTTCTGACTTCTGCGGCATTCTGGCTCAAGGCGCCATCCTGACCTAGACAGCCAGTAGCGACTGCTCGAGCGCAGCAACGACGAACGCTAGCTGCCACTAGCTGGAGTTTCATGCCCGCTATCGTCATCTCACGGCCATCATCATCCACCATCTTTATCATGATTAGTTAATTCTCCTAGCGCAGTGTGGAGCCGTGGTCATCGCCTTCTCCTTGGAAAGGCCGGCAGTCTTGTCCTTTTGATGATGTCCCTAAACCCTAAACCGGGGCTTAGGGGTTTAGCCTTGGAACCATACTCATACAGAAGGCCGCAAGCTCTGCACGTCCCAGAGGCTGATTCCCTTGGCCCCTCAAGTCACGAAGCGCTACAGCCCTGCAGTGCCTAAACCCCAAACCCCAAACCCGAAACCCTAAACCCTAAACCCTCGAACCCCTCCATTCCGAATACCGACCCATGAGACCCCCCAAATGCTCCCCTTCACGAAGACCCCCAATGCTTCCAAGCTTCAAAAGCCTCCCTGAAGCCTTCCGAGCAGCAAACCTTCCCCCACACTTCCCAACACACCCCCTACCCTTCAGTTCTGCATGAAGCCCGAAACCCTAAACCCGAAACCCTAAACCCTAAACCCTAAACCCCAAACCCCAAACCCCAAACCCTACACACTCACACTTGGGGGGGGTTAGAAGTGCCCATGAACCTCCAAGTGGAGGCCGACATGAAGGGCTTGGCGGCTCGAGCCCTGCTCTTCGCTGCTCTGCTTAGGCCTGCCTGGCGGGTTTGGCGTTCTTGGAGTTCTTTGGGGGGGTTCTTGGATTTCTTGGAGTTCTTGGAGTTGGGTTTAGGGTTTAGGGTTTAGGGTTTAGGGTTTAGGATTTAGGGTTTAGGGGTTGAGGGTTTAGGATTTAGGGTTTAGGGGTTGAGGGTTTAGGGTTTAGGGTTGAGGCACCTTTAGATGTGGAGGTTGATCAGCATCATGGTCCTTTTTTTTTTTGAATGCTCTCTTCCCCTGGTGGTTGACCATTTTGCTTTGGAGATTTGGACAGTCAGGGATTGCAGCAGTTCGGGGCACCTAGACAGAAGTAGGGTTTGGGGTTTAGGGCTGAATGTAGCTTACCTTACCTCCATCTGATTTTAAACTATCCTAGTGAGCCTTCAATAGTACTGGTAAGGGTACTATAGTAATAGCACTAGCAAGAGTATTTAGTCATCGTAGCAATAAGCATAGTAAAAGTACCAACCGTAGCCAGAACAATAACATGACAGATCCTGCGGGGCAGGCTTGGCTCCAGTCAGATCTGGGGGGACGTCGTAGAGGCTGCGATCCGCGTTCCGGTTTCTGGGTTTAGGGGCGCCTTTTTGCCTCCTTTTGCCGTGAAGGCCGTGTCAACGCCGGATGGGGACGTCACCGTCTCAGGGTGTGGGGCTCAGAAAGCGTTAACGCTCCTCGAGCCCTCGGTTTCAGTGTAGTCTTCTGGTGGCCCAGGGTGTACAGCACCGTGATCTTCACCTTGGCGGACGACTATCCCTACGCCTGCAAATGCGCGCGGCCCTCAGTCTCCCCATCGGCCGGTTGAGCTGGAGGCCTGCGGATTTGTTGCCGCTGTTGCCGCCCACTGTTTGTCCAGGTCCAGAGATCTGCGTCCGACACAAAAGTGGGCTACTGCAAGATTCTTGCTGGCAAGACCTGAACCCTAAGCGCCCCCCAAAAAACCCAAAAGAAGTGAACCCCAAAGGTTTTTGCCGTGGCCTGACTTGGGTGTTTGCATGCCCCTGCGCTGCCCAGGGGTGATATGAACATGCCTTGCTACCTCATCAGCGCAGGAGCGTCGTCTTGCGCGCGAGGGGAAGATGGCCCTGAACCCGTAAATGCCCCTTTCCCACAACCCCCCCAAGCCTCCCCAAGCCTCCCTAAGCCTCTCCAAGCCTCCCGATAAGCCTCCCCAAACCCTCCCCAAGCCTCCCTAAGCCCCCTACACCCAATGCAACCCCCGTGTGGCGCAGGATCCCGCGGCGCCATCACCATGTGCGCCTTGCTTGCTTTGGCATCTTGGCTTCAGCCTCCCCGGTTTGACCGAAAGTTCTTTCAGCACATGTGCAGCGCTTACCTGAGGTTTTCCAGGTGGCTTGTCTCTGAGCCACCGATCGCGCCAGAGCTTGCGGGTTTAGGGTTTAGGGTTTAGGGTTCAAGGGGTTCAAGGGGTTCAAGGGGTTCCGGGTTGAGGCTTCGGAGGGTTGAAGTTCGGGTGTAGTGTGGCAGGGTGTTGTAGATGTCATCCGTGTGGCACCATCCTCAAAGAGGTTGTGCCTCACGTGCCAGGGCCAGGAACAGGTTCGCAAGACTCGGAGCCCTTGGTTTTAGGGGATCTCCCCCTACCCTCCCCCTCAAGAAAGCAAGAAAAAGCACAACATTTGGAGGACTGCGCATTCGCTTCGGGCACTGGCAGAGGGATCTCAGTGATCCACACATTTAGCAGTGCAGACTCTGCAGGCTTCCCGCCCTCTGCAGGCACCATGAAAAAGAGCGCCCGGCATGATAACGGCCTGTCTTAGGGTTTAGGGTTTAGGGTTTAGGGTTTAGGGTTTAGGGTTTAGGGTTTAGGGTTATCATCAGAGCAGTCCCAGGTTACCGGAAAACGCTTCTTCGCCAAAGGCGTGGCGTATAATCCACGGAATGCCGCGTGGCCGCATCGATGCACCTTCTCTCTCCCTCACAACTTTGAAGCCTAAACCCGAAGCCCGAAACCCTAAACCCTAAACCTTAAACCCTAAACCCTAAACCCTAAACCCTAAACCCAAAACCCAAAACCCTAAACCCTAAACCCTAAACCCTAAACCCTAAACCCAAACCCTAAGCCCCGAACCCTTCAACGTAAACCCCACGGCCCAGGAGAGGTACGACCACTCCTTCGGCTCAAGCGTGCAGGCGGCCGCCAACGGACCCGGGTAGTGCTTTCTGGGGTGAAGAGCTTGGTGTTCCAGCCTCCACCCTAGACCCTAAACCCTAAACCCCAAACACGATGGAGCAGTACTGGTCCCTGATGAAGTGTGCTGGGGCTTTTTGGGGGCCCCTGTAACCCCCCTGAAATCTCTCTGAGACCCTGAAGCTTTGCTGCGGCGCCGGCCCTCACAATCCGGCCGGAGCAGCTCTTCGCACCTGACGAATCTTTCAAGCTTATTCCGCATACAGCATCTGTGCCCTATTGCAGTTAACCCGGACCCTAAACCCCAAACCCCTAATCCCTAAACCCTAACCCCTAAACCCTGAACCCTAGGGGCCTGGCCGTTGTGTTGTTCTTTGCGTTGGATCCCTTGGGTTGAGGGTTTAGTCCCTCCTCCTGTGTTTCGTTTCCTCAGTATGATAGCTTGTTCGGATCGAATCCCCGAGCCCTCAACCACAAAATCCGGAATCTTAATCCCCAAGCCCTTGACCCTAAACCCTCAACCCTAAACTCCAAATCCCTAACCCTAAACCCTAAACCCTAACCCCTAAATCCTAAACACTAAACCCTAAGCCCTAAGCCCTAAACCCTGAACCTTAAACCCCAAACCCCTGAACCCCTGAACCAATGAACCCCAAACCGTCCGATGGGGTTCCCGGGCAGGTGGAAGGCTGGGTTGCGCCTCGGTACGGATGTGGGGGTTTCCGAAATAGGGGTTTAGGGTTTAGGGTTTAGGGTTTAGGCTTAGGGTTTAGGGTTTCGGGTTTAGGGTTTAGGGTACCTTATTGGGGTCTTGATTAGATGGGAATCCTACTTTTGGGTCATTTATTAGGCGTCCCTTGTTTTCGTGAATTTTCATGTGTCCAGGGATGTTGTCTTCACGTTTTTAGGTTGGTTTAGCAAACAGGGCTTTAGGTTTGTTTAACAGTGGTTTTAAGGTTTTAGGTTTGTTTAACCAATGGGGCGTTTGGCTTGCTTATCGCAAAGGGTCTTAAGGGTTTTAGGTTTGTTTAAAAAAATCGGGTTCAGGTTTGTTTAACAAAAAAGGGTTTTGGTTCCTGGATCAAGGGGTGAAGGGGTTGAGGGTCCAGGGGTGAGTGGAGTTAGGGCTCCAGTGTTGGAAAAAGATTTTTTGGGTTTAGGGTTTGGGGGTTTAGGCTCCGGGGTTGAAAAGGTTAGAGGTGTTATGTTGGAATTCAAGCTCAGGCTCAAGGGCTTTGGGGTTTGCTAGTTGGGCCTGTGGCATGGCAGAATGGAGAGCGTGGCCTTCTCTCTTTGCACCAGGATGTCTCACAACGGCCAGAGTTCCCATCCACGGGTTTACGAAGATAGGCCCAACTTCTAAGGGAAGTCCTGCTATTTGGGGGCCATTTCAGCGTACCCCTGTTATCGCAAACCCCCCCCAAATAGGTATTGGCATCATCAACTTAGGGGCTTTTCATCTGCGATTTTAGAGCAGCATGACACTTGGCGCTAAGGACCACTGCGCCCCGGGACATCCCAAGGGTGGCGAGTGGACCTACACTGAGGACCCGATCCCACAGTGCGCCACAGTGAAGCTTGGGGCTTTCGCCTAAGCCTTGGAAAACCCTGAACCCTAAACCCTAAACCCTAAACCCTAAACCCTAAACCCTAAACCCTAAACCCTAAACCCTAAACCCTAAAAAACACTTTCAAGAGCATGAGGCATTCCCCACAAAAGCTCCGGAGCACCTCAGGCAAGCCCTCGCGGACTGTGAGCATGAGAGCCTGTGCTTGTTTGTGTTTGCTTGCGGCTTCCGCAAGATTCAGGAGGTTTAGGGTTTCGGCTTGCCCACCCCCCCCCCCCCCCAACAAATTCCAAGACCGGTTTAGGACTTAGGGTTCAGCTCTTCATGTGATTCGGGCGCAGGACGTCATTGCCGACGAGCACGAGGACATGTGGAGTCTTGTGGCGGCAGGTTCTAACCCAAAACCCTAATCCTACACCCCAAACCCCAGACCCTGAACCACAAAACCTTAACCCTGGCCCTCCGAAACCCCAAACATGATGCAACCGCAGGGAAATATAGCGAGTTGGGTACCCTGTATGACCCCTGTGGGATGATACCCTGATCACAACTCCATCACGTACACTTAAAACTTCCCCCAAACGCCCATAAGGGGTGACGGGATTTCGGCTCAACTCCAGTCGACTAGCCAGCAAGTCCCAACCACAACTCGGGTTCAGAATCAGAGTTTAGGGTTTTGGGGTTATAGGGATAGGTAGGTAAGCTTGTATGAACAAAGCCCCCTCAAGAATCGACACCAAGCCCTAAACCCGAAACCCCAAAGCCCTAAATCCCAAACCTGACCCCCTAAACCCTCAAGCCTAAACCCTAAACCCCAAACCCTAAACCCCAAACCCTAAACCCCTCAACCCGGACGTGAGGTGAGGACCTGGAGGCCATCGCGAACCTCGGTGAATGGCCCAGCGTAGTGAGCTTCACCTGGGCAATGTGAAGGTGAAATTGAGGGGGTTTAGGGTTTAGGGTTTAGGGTTTTGGGTTTAGGATTTAGGGTTCAGGGTTTAGGGTTTAGGGTTGAGGGTTTGAGGGTGTAAGGTTCATGGGTGTCGGGTGCTGAACGAATGAGGTGCCAACACGGTGCGCCTCTACAACGTGGATCCCCAGAACAACCACAGCAAGTTCATGAACAAGGCCCGCTCTCAGCTTTCGGATTCTTGCTTCCGCGGCCCTAACCTCAAAAGGGTTTGGGGTTTAGGGTTTGGGGTTTAGGGTTTAGGGTTTAGGGTAGAGTCAGAGCAGCTTGCAGGCAGCATCGCTGGGAATCTATGACGCTCGGCTTGAAAAAATTGTCTGGCTTCGGAGAAGCAATGACTGTCTAGAAGGAGGCCAGGATTTCGGGTTTCGGGTTTAGGGTCTATGGTTTAGGGTTTAGGGTTTAGGATTTAGGGCTCAGGGTTCAGGAATCTACCCAAAACCTATGCCCACAACTTGAACCCCAAAACCTTGGTCTCTGAAGCCCTACGCCCCCTACGCCAATGAATCAAGGTTCACGGCGACTTAAATGGAAGCTTATCAAGCTCAAGGGCAGATCTCTAAACGTCATTGCTCCTTTGTTGGGGTTTTCCATTCTCGTAGGGAGTCGTATGTCAGACAACCCAAGCCTTCAAGACCCGAGTCCCAAGCCGGTACGCCCATAGCCTTCAACCCGACACAACGCAAAGCCCATAGCACCCAAAACCCTTAAGGCCACTTAAGGCCCAACAGCTGAGCAGCCTGGACCCCCCAAAACCTCTTCAAGCCCTCAAGCCCTCGAAGCCCCCAAAAAAGCCCGAAACCCCGAAACCCCCTTCAAGCCCCTCAAGCCCCCAAAGCACCCAAAGCCCTCAGACCCTCCCCTAAACCCCTAGCCCTAAACCCTAGACCCTAAACCCTGAACCCCTAAACCCTCAACCCCTAAGCCCTAAAAACCCTCAACCCTACACCCTGAACTCCTAAACCCTAAAACCCTCAACCTTAAACCCCTAACCCCTAACCCCTAAACCCCTAGACCCCTAAACCCCTAAACCCCTAAACCCCTAAACCCCTAAACCCCTAAACCCCTAAACCCCTAGACCCCCAGACCCTAAACCCGAAACCCTAAACCCTAAACCCCTAAACCCCTAAACCCCTAAACCCCTAAACCCCTAAACCCTAGACCCTAAACCCCTAAACCCCTAAACCCCTAAGCCCCTAAACCCAAAGGACCCTCAAAGCCAGGTCATTGTTCCCCTCAACGGCAAAGACTGGGGCTTCCTCCCGGCCTTTCCGGCTCCCGACTGCTACACGCAGGACCCGGGTTTAGGGTTTAGGGTTTAGGGTTTCGGGTTTAGGGTTTAGGGTTTAGGGTTTAGAGTTCAAGGTTTAGGGTTTAGGGTTTAGGGTTTAGGGTTGCTTCGGGCTTGAGGGTCCCGACTGCTACGTACACGCAGGACCCCTCTGTTGGGCTGAGGCTCCACGGGCTTTCGGGTCATAGGGGTTTAAGGGTTTTTGGTGTTTAGGGGTTTGGGGCGTCAGGGGGATTTAGGGGAATTGTTGCACTTGGGGCTGGGGGCGGGGGGTAGGTAGTTTAGGGTTTTAAGGGGTTTAACTCTGGTACACGGCGAACCTGACCTAGACAGTGTGGCTCTTGGGCCGCGGGACCCTTTCAGTCCTCCTCCTCCGCAGGAGATTGAAGGATATGGGAACGTGGGTGTGAATGCTTTGAGTGCCTTAGCTGAATGTGCCCAGCAGTTGAAATGGAGCTGTTGCTACACACATGCGCGTGCCGAGCGGATGCCAAGGCTTTGCCAAGCAGGTGGTGAAGGAGTTCAGCCAGTTCAACAATACCCTCCTCTTCACAGTTGCAAATGAACTGGCCATCATCCCAGTTGATGCCGAGTTGGGGTACAAGCTGAGCTTTGCAAGTTTCTGCAGCCATCGCCTATGGCACCGGTGCTGCGGCTACCCCTCCTCCATAGCCCATAATCCCTAGCCTAACTCCGAAAAGTCTGCCGCCCAAGTGTTTCGTCAAACCCTGCATCCTAGCCCTTGAATCCCGTAGCCTTTTTGTACAAGGCCCAGAACGACAAGAACGGATGGGCCGCATTCCCGTGCGTCAAAGCCCTCACAAGAGATGTCCATCTCTACCAGGCCCGGATACCCAACCCTCCGTCCCTATAGCCCTAAACCCTAAACCCTAAACCCTAAACCCTAAACCCTAAACCCGAAACCCTAAACCCTAAACCCTAAACCCGAAACCCTAAACCCTAAACCCTAAACCCGAAACCGCAGCAGCTTCAAGTCCGGCCCTAAAAAGTGTTTGTCAAGCTCGAAGCCCCAAAGCCTTCAATTAACCGCCCTGAGGCCCCAAGCCCTGAACCCTTTCATCCTAGGCACCCCGAGGCCCAAAATTCTGAACTTTTTTTTTTTAAAATAAAATCTGAACCCGGTTTCTACTATTTTTTTTAAAGTTTTTAGATTTTAACAGAGCTTCAAGTACCACGGAGTTGCAGGCGGGTAGACCCTAGCAACTCTCCATCGGGGTTCTTCTTCGGACACAAAGAGGCCCTAGAGCCGAAGCCACAAGCCCCCAAACCGCCCCCAGAAGTCGTGCGGAAGCTCGATGCGCCGGGTGCCGCTGCTGCTTGGGTCTAAAGTCCATGGGATGCAGCGTTTTTCAGGGGGGGGAGGTTTGGAGTTCAGGGACGTTTTAGGGCTTCTTAGGGTTTTTTCGGGGTGTAGGGGTTCAGGACGTTAGGGCATCAGGGCTTCGGAGTATTAGGGTCGTAGGAGCATCCGGCAAATCGCCGAGTTTCTCGATGCTTGGCAGCGTGCTGATTCCTGTCGTGCCTGTCAAGGATCTATTCTGATGTGGACATGGGTGCAGGACCTGCGCGGTCCGATGTTTCGGGTTCCGCGATGCACCCTGAGCCCAAATGCCCCAAGCGCTTTAAGCCCAAGCCAGCTGAGAACAACACAGGGAGAACACAAGAGAGGGTAAAAGGAAGCCAGTGATGCGAGAATGTGGACACAAAATAGCAGGCGAAAACTGAAGTGCCCAGTTTCATTCGGCATCACATCCTAACTAACAAAAGAAGGCAAACCAAACGACACCCAACCCCGAACCCCTCCCAAATCCCTTCACAAAAGCCCCGCAAAAGCCGCTAACGCCTCTTAAGCTGGGAAGCCCTCAGCTCCACAAAACGGCGCGAGAGCTGCAGCTGCAGGAGACCGCGGGCAGGTGGCGCAGTACCTGACTTGCGCGCTGGACAGTGAGGTGAGGGGGTCTCAGATTTTGCGGCTAGGGTCAGCAGTCTAGTGGGTATAGGGGGTTGGGGTTCAGGATTCGGGCGCAGACTTTCCAGAATGGTGCCAGGGAGAGAAAGAGGAGGAGAAGAAGAAGAAGAAGAAGAAGAAGAAGAAGAAGAAGAAGAAGAAGAAGAAGAAGAAGAAGAAGAAGAAGAAGAAGAAGAAGAAGAAGAAGAAGAAGAAGAAGAAGAGAAGAAGAAGAAGAAGAAGAAGAAGAAGAAGAAGAAGAAGAAGAAGAAGAAGAAGAAGAAGAAGAAGAAGAAGAAGAAGAAGAAGAAGAAGAATAAGAAGAAGAAGAATAATAAGAATAACAATAATAATAATCAGAAGAAGCAGAAAAGTAAGCAGGATAATAATAATAATAAGAAGAAGAAGGAGGTTGTCGCATATTTGGCCGCTAGACCTGGGATCTCGTTGGATAGTTCTCTACAGTATGGTTCTTTGTTGCATTTCCTGATCTCGCATTCCAGAAATATAATAAGGCTCCGTATTCTCATAGGAATCCCCAAGGGTCTACGTGGCAGAACACCCCCTTCCCTGCCGCTCCAAGTGTGAAAGTTTGTTCGTTTTCCGGCGCTTCCCATCCCTCCAGGATGACGCCGTCGACGTGTACGGTCTGAACGTCTACTCCTGGTGCGACGAGGCCAGATGTAGGGTTTCGGGTTTAGGGTTTTGGGTTTAGGGTTTAGGGTTTCAATCTGCGAAGACGCAGCCTCGAGCTCCAGATCCCAACCTTGGACCTTAGACATTCGACCCGGAGCCTTCTGCCACAAGATTCTGCACCTCAAGCAACCCTAAACCTCTAAACCCCCTAAACCCCCCTTCAAACCCCCTAAACTTGACTCTACACGTCCCTCAGCTGCCAACTCTGGCCCCTGCAGACTTACCCCGGCGGAGGGCTGGAGGACAACTTCCAGCATCCTGGCAATCGGGGTGGCCAACACCCTGAACTCCTGAACTTCATGGTCTTCTGTTTTGCCTGTAGCTGTTCTGTCTGCATAGACCGCAAGGGGGACATGACCAAGGGCCGCGTCCCGGAACCGGTTCAGGTCTTTCTCGAGCTAGGCCTTCGGGTGTGTCGGGCTCATCCTGCGCCCTTCTCTTCGGCCAACCTTCGCCACGAGTCCGGAGCACAGCAGTTCGGAGAGGACTGCCCAAAACCCTAAACCCTAAACCCGAAACCCTAAACCCTAAACCCTAAGCCGTTGGCAACTTGGGGCTCTTAAAATGAGCTCCCCCAAGGTATTCCCCGTACTATGAGATCAAGAAGGACTTCAAGGACCTCTCGGCCCTTTGGCTCGCAGTCCATCCACCTCCAAGAGCCCCAAGTGTTGCCAAACCCCCTTTACAAAGCCCCTAGGGCCCTGAAACCCTAAACCCTAAACCCTAAACCCTAAACCCTAAACCCTAAACCCTAAACCCTCAACCCTAAACCCTGAACATTTCGTACCCTAGACATATCCAAACCTTCTACCGCCCCCTGAGGGTTGCCGGCGGTTCGTCAGCGGTTTCTGTGTCGGGATATGAAAGGCCTACACTATGTTAGGGGCATGTTTTTTTCGAGGGGGACCCTATTTTGGAGAAATGCCCGCATCATGGTTCGGGGGTTCTTGAACTCATGTCTTCAGGGACCCCTATGCCAGGTTTTCTTTGGGGGCCATGTGGGGCCTGAACCCTAACCCTAAACCCTAAACCCTAAACCCTAAACCCTAAACCCTAAACCCTAAACCCTAAACCCTAAACCCTAAACCCTAAACCCTAAACCCTAAACCCTAAACCCTAAACCCTCGGAAGCGCTGTTGCCATTGAGGGAGGCGGGAGGTTCTTTCTCCAAGACCTCTTGCCCTCTTTTCTCATCCCCTGCTTCGCCCCTAGGGCTTAGGGTTTAAGGGTTTAGGGTTTAGGGTTTAGGGTTTAGGGTTTAGGGTTTAGGGTTTAGGGTTTAGGGTTTAGGGTTAAGGGTTTAGGGTTTAGGGCTCCTGGCTCCCCCAACAAGAAGGGTTAGGGTTGGGGGTTTTCCGCGAATTGACAACTTCGCCAAATCAGGTCCCCCTTATACACTCCCAGGAAAACGATAATCCCTACGGCCGATATCCCCCAAAAAGGTACCTGTAATCTTCGGAAATCCTAAATGCCCTACATGCCCTAAACCTTTGTCAAGACCCTAAACCCTAAACCCTACACCCTAAACCCTAAACCCTCCTAAACCCAAACCCTCAACCCAAACGAGGTTCCTGGCCCAACTGGAGAGGAATGATATTTACAAACAGGTTCCCATGCTCTTCACGGAGTTTGGCTGCAACCTGGGCGTCTTCAAAACGAAGTGCCCGCCTCCTGGCCGCGGTTGCTGGTGCGGGGTTTAGGGTTCGGGGTTTAGGGGTTTGGGGTTTAGGGTTTAGGGCTTGCGGTTTCGGGTTTGAGGTATGGAGTGTCTAAGGGTTAGGGTTTGTTTGTTGGCGTCTAGTGAGTCGGTGTAAGGGCCCTTATGGGGCCAACTGTTTATAGTTTGGCCTGAACCCCAAACCCAAACCTAGGCCAAACTTAAAGAAAAGGAAGCTCTCTCTCTCTCTCCAAACCTGAAAACACGGTACCCTCCACCAGGGGGTTTGGGTTACTCAACTCTATGGAAAATTCAGACAAGCTGCTGTCAAAGGAGAGGGCTCTAGGTAGACACCCGAACCCTTCATGTCCTGAAACCCTCCTTGCCCGGAAGCCCCAAGCCCTAAACCCGCAACCTTGCTTCACGATCCAACTGGGTCCCTTGCCCTAAACTCGAAACCCTGACAAAGGGCCTCCAGAAGCTGTAAGGGCCTCTTCGCCCGAGGTACCCTGATGGCCGACGCTGGCCCGAAGTGAAGCATCTGGTGGGGAAGGACATGGGCCAGATTATCAGCGGCAAGGACCTCGGTACTGTCAAGGTCTTCTATGGCAGCAGACTTCCGTTTTCATAACGTTCGATTTATTCGAAGTTCAGTGCTGCTGGCGGGGGAACATCCGAAGCGTGAGGCATCTTGTGATGTTGCTCGCACAGGAAGGCTCAATACATTTTGAGAGGTTCAGCTACTCGCTTCAGGTGCCATTGCCTTCCAGTTCTCCATGGACAAGGAGGAGTCTCTTGGATTGGAGTTAGTGACACAAGCTCAACCCTAAACCGAAACCTCTTGGGTCAGCAGGTGGCCTACACCCTCAAAGCCCTAAACTCTTCCTCAGCCTCACCTGACCCCCGTAAGCTCAAGGCCGAACCCCTCGAATGCCTCTTCTTATTCTCCCCGGAGAGGCCCGCTAGCAATAAGCACCCAGGTGACAGCTTAGGGAAGCTGGAGAGGTAAACCCTGACTTGCTTCTGTGTTCGTGTCGCGCAGTTGAGAGGGCTGTGTGACAGTGTGGGCTTAGGGCATTGCGGTGTTTTGGGGGTGTAGGTGCGCTGATCCTTTTTTTTTTTTTTTTTTATTTTGTTTTCATTTTTTTAATTTATAGCAGTCTGGCAGACTCTGCCAAGTTGGAGGATGTCTGTTGGGCAGCAGGCTTGCCAAAAGCAGGCAGTGGTGAAAGCTGACGACTCACCATTCCCAAACGATTCGTGCGTTTGTGTGCTCATTCGCCAAAGTGCGCCCGAAACGGCGCGAAAGAAGTCTACCTAGCAGATATGTTCAGGCCTTGATGACACAAGCCGCAAACCAGAAAGGGTCAGTTCTCAAAATCATGGTCCCCTCAGTGGGGTACCCTAAACATTGGGAGCCGCCTTAGAATATTCTTTGAATCGCGACCCCAAAAAGGAACATCATTAGACAAGTGACCCAGTGACTTGGGGGGGAAGGGGCAAAGGAGCAAAGGCTAAACCCTAAACCCTCAACCCAAAACCCCAAACCCCAAACCCCAAACCCCAAACCCTAAACCCTGAACCCTGAACCCTTAACCCTGCCTGGACCAGGTATGGACTGACCCTCTCCCCGAACTTCCTGGCCAATCAGACCAAGCTGTACCTGCGCTGCGACTGCAAGGAAGCACGGCGTGCGCGGGGAAAGCTCCGTAGGGGGTTTAGGGTTTAGGGTTTAGGGTTTAGGGTTTAGGGTTTAGGGAGCGCCGTAGGCGAGACAGGAGGGGCTGCACATACCGGGCACTGTAATGCATCATGCTGGGCCTTGGTGCAGTGGTTGAGCTTATCACTACTACTAGTACTATTGCCATTATTCGTATTGTATATATATATATATCTTGATTATTAAGTATATTATTATTGTTATTAATAATTTTTAGTATTACTATCATTATTGTTTTATTCTCATTATTGTGATTATTACAGGAATAATAATGATAATTGTTCTTATTATTGCTACTATTTTTTATTATGTTTTTTGTTCATGTTTCTTTTTTTTGTATTTCATTTTTTTGCAGAACTCTGATGTTTTTTCGCCTGGGCCTGCTTGATGAGGCTCGACAACTACTTCAATCTGCAGAAGGCGCGGCGCGTATTGTGCGGTAGACTTTGTTCGGAGATCCTCTCACGCACCACAAAAAAAGCAAGAGTAAAGAAATCAACAAGTACAGATATATATATATATATATATAGAAAATATGGGGGGTTACAATGTTTCTATGGGGGGTTACCATGTATATATATATATATATAGCTTCATCTGTAAAGCCCCCATTAACGCATCCAAAGCCCCTAAGCGCTAACGTTCTCAACCCATTGGGGTTGCCTAAACGCGGTTCCCGTGGGCATCAGGTGGCCCTTCTTAAGCTCACGGATGAGGGTGCAGGGTTTAGTTGTTTTTTTGCTTTTGTTTCATTTGTTTTATTTTACTTCATTGTTTTTTCTCTCGCTCTCTCTCTCTCTCTCTCTTTCTAAAGCCTCCCTTGCGAATTATGTTTTCATTCAAGGTCAAGGGGATGTATAAAGCAAGTGTGTGTGTGTGCGTGTGATATAGACAGGTATGCGTATATGTATATCTGTATATCCATATTGTATACGTGTATATCCCCCGCGCTCCCGCTCCCTCCCTTTCCCAACCCACCCCACCTGCAAGAGCGGTTTTGGTTGTTACTCTGATTGGATGCGGGTGCGACTCACACGAATCTGAGATGTGCAATTTGATGTCCCTCCGAAGTCCTTCAGACGATTCCAAACCATAAACCCCTAACCCATAAACCCCAAACCCTGAAAGCGCTGCGCGCCGTGTGTTGCAGAGGTCTTCCACGAGTACAACGTCAGCTCAGAGTGGGCCAGGGCCTTATGGAGATAGGATCCACTCCCACGCCCCTTACACTCCTTTTCGAAGCCAGGGGTGGTTGCGGATCCTGTGCCCCAAAGCCCTCCAAAATGAGGGGATTATATCCGATTTGCACTCGAAATCCTGCCGCAGGGCTACCAGGCCCCCGACCTTGAGCCCCAGGCCCTAAACCTGAAAGCACTTCTCTAGTGAGCCCTCTGAGCCAACCCCAACGCCCCTGCTAAAGCCCCGAAATCCCCTACATCCTACACCCCAAAGCGGCCTAAACCCCTAAGCCCTAAACACCCAAAGCCCTCGTGAATCACCTGCCGAGGATGCCACCCCCAAGGAGGTGGCGCAGTGCAACTTCGTTCCATCGGAGGTGCATGCCATGGAGGACACCCACAAGAGGCGGGTTCACATGGGAGGAGCTCCCCAGATGGGGGTTCCTTTTTGGGCTCCTACTGCAATATGGAGCCTTGGGTATCTAGGGGCGCCCTAGAACTTTCAGAGTTCCGGGGCTTGGTCTTCGGGTGTCAGTTTCAGGTAGAGGTAACCTGCGAATCAAGGCATCCAACCCTAAACCCTAAACCCTAAACCCTAAACCCTAAACCCTAAACCCTAAACCCTGATCCCCTCACCCTGTTATACTCCCTGTTACTGACTGTTAGTAGAAGGGGGAGCATCTCAAGTAGGAACCAGGAAGAAGCGTTCCTACACCCAAAGCCCAAGACCGAACAAAAATGCCTTAGCTGCAGGCCTCACTGCCCCAGCGAGCTCCTTGCTGGAATCTGCTCCAGAGCTTAGGGTATGGTTTGGGGTTTAGGGGGGTTTAGGGTTTAGGGTTTGGGGTTTAGGGTTTAGGGTTTAGGGTTTAGGGTGGGCTTCCAGTAGGCAACAGGGGGTTTAGGGTTTGGGGTTTCGGGGTATGAGGGGGTTTTCGGGAGGGTTTAGCCCTTTCGGTGTTTAGGGGGGTTCGGGGACGCTGATGCGAAGAGGCTCAAGAGAGGTACGCCCAACATCCTCCTTAAAGCCTAAACCCTAAACCCTAAACCCTAAACCCTAAACCCTAAACCCTAAACCCTAAACCCTAAACCCTAAACCCTAAACCCTAAACCCTAAACCCCAAAAGGTCCCCTTAAATCATGGGAATCAGCCCGAGGTCGGTCTGGCTGAAGATCATGAAGAAGCACCGTCAGCTGGCGAAAATGGGGGCCCCAAGTTTCCGAACGCCCTTGAGTTCTCAACCCCAAACCCTAAACCCTAAACCCCACCTAAACCCTAAACCCTAAGCCCGAAACCCTAAACCCTAAACCCTAAACCCTAAACCCTAAGCTCTCGTTTTGTGTGTCATCTTGTCGAGCTAGCGTGAGCCTTCTCGAACGCCAGGCGTCGACAAGCTCTCGAACTGGACGCAGATACCACCAACTCCCAATGCTACGCAGACTGCTTTGTGGAACGTTGGTGGTCAGGACGCTTGGCTACAAAGAGACGTTAGGGGTCAGAACGTTCCTGTTGCCTTGGAGAGCCCTAAGCCCTAAGCCCTAAACCCGGAACCCTAAACCCTAAACTCACTGGAGCATGTCGCCATCGTTGCGTGGCCACAAGGCGGAGTGCCCGGCAGCGGAGATCTCTACGGCCATGCAGGCCAACAACTTGCTCCACGACTGCCCATGGCTGCCTCATGGTACATGGGGGTTTGACCATCCAGTAACCCTAAACCCTAAGCCCTACACCCTAAACCCTAAACCCTAAACCTTAAACCCTAAACCCTAAACCCTAAAAACCCTAAACCCTAACCCCTAAGCCCTAAGCCCTAAACCCTAAACCCTAAACCCTGGTGACTTGTTTTTTGGTCTCTAGAGATCCCAGGGGCTCGCAACAGAGATCAGCCCCCATGTCCACCTCTCGCTGTCAACTGCTCACCAAGCTCAGTTCATGGGCCATGATTCATCGTTTTAGGGTTTAGGGTTTAGGGTTTGGGCTTAGGGTTTAGGGTTTAGGGTTTAGGGTTTAGGGTTTAGGGTTTAGGGTTTAGGGTTTAGGGTTTAGGGTTTAGGGTTTAGGGTTGAGGGTTTAGGGTTTAGGGTTTAGGGGTTCTTTGGCCTTTAAGGGAATGCTTGTGCTTCGATGCTCAATATTGAAAGAATAGGCGTTGGGAGCATTCATGGGGCATTTCATTCATGGAGACGCCGGTCCTTCCTTCGCTTCGTCCAAGAATGACCCCGTATTCGAGCGTTTAGGGTTTAGGGTTTAGGGTTTAGGGGTGCTCCTGGTTTCAAGCCTCTTCAGTGGATGGGAAACTATTGGATGCCCAAATTTACTCTCGACATAGCGAGCCCCACCCCCCACCCCCGCCCACCCCCCTCACCAAGCCCTCAGCAGGCACTTAAGAGCCCAGTTTCCTTAGAATTCACTACCAACCGCAAGAAGGGGTTTAGCGACTTGGGTTTCTCATATGAAACAGGGTTCATACTACTGCTAGTGGTGAGTGTGTACAAGGTTACTTTTTAATATTGGTGAGTGTATATTTTGGGTGTCCTTTTGGGGATACAAGGAATATCAGCCCTACTTCATATCATCTGGTTTTCAAGCAATCTTTTGGTTTCCTCTGTCTTCTCACCAGCTTACTGCAGCTTTCTCATGGACCGAGGTGCCACACAGAAAAAATCGTCGCCGGCCGTCTGTGAAGGAGTGCCCTGGCACGACTTTTCTCCTTCTGGATATATAAACCCTGAACTGCAATTTGCTTAGGAATCATCTGAGGTATTCAAGCTTTTTCTTCAGATAACGCCCCAGGGAATAGTCATAAGGGGAGTAAAGTTCTAACAAGAAGCCCGAAACCTCAAAACCTAACCTAAACTTTGGACTTTTGGCCCTGCAGTAGACCCAAGCCTGTGGACAAAACCCTAAACCCTAAACCCTAAATGTAAATCCCCCCAAAACCAAAACCCCAAACCCTAAAACCCCAAACCCTAAAACCCCCCCAAAACCAAACAAGCCCAGGCGCTTCAGATCTTCGGGCCGCCATTTTTCAGTGGGCTGACCGGTGAGCACTCGCCGGGGTTGTTCCAAGCGACGGTGGCCGCTTGTGAAGAGCTTTTCTCGCCACACGCACTTAGCCACGGAAAAGTTGACCCCCAACAAGTGGACCCTGGTTTGGAACAGCCCCGCCTGTGAGGTTAGCGAAGTTTCGACTAGTTGGAGGCCTTGGCCCCAAACGGGACACGCAAGGCATCTTCGTTTCACCTTCAGGAGAGATCCCTTCCTGGTATCCGTTAAAGGAATGTTGGGGACACCCTGTGCCCCCGTCCCGACCCCCCTAACCCCCTCAGCAATGAAGCCCTCAGCCCCCGAAGCGGCCCTGAGCCCAAGCCTTCACCCCCCAAAGGTCCGCCTACGACCTGTTGGTTAACAGCCACCTGGCCCTTGGCGACACGCAGGCGGCCATGAAGCTCGGGGGCCCAGGGATGGGGAGGGGACGGGATGGGGGGCGGGGGTAGGGGGTTTAGGGTTTAGGGTTTAGGGTTTAGGGTTTAGGGTTTAGGGTTCAGGGTTTAGGGGGGTATAGGGAGGGAGGGGAGGGGGTACGGGGAGAGGGAGGGAGGGGATGAGGGAGGGAGGAGGGGAGGTGGATTTAGGCATTGTTAATCTTCATGTATTTTCACTAGCTACTTCTATTTGCTTTTATTCAATGTTGTTTCTGGGCCTTCACTTAGAATTTCCAAAGTGCATTGTATTTATTGATTTCGCTTTTTTTTCAGGGTCGGGTTTCAAGGGTTTTGTGGCTTTGGGGTTCAGGGTTTAAGGTTTTAGCGTTGACCTTCGAGTATCGTGGTTGAGGGTGCAGGGCTCACTGGGGACGCCGAACTTTGGCCTACCCCAAACCCTAAAACCCTAAAACCCTAAAACCCTAAAACCCTAAAACCCTAAAACCCTAAAACCCTAAAACCCTAAAACCCTAAAACCCTAAAACCCTAAACCCTAAACCCTAAACCCTAAACCCTAAACCCTAAACCCTGTAGGGGCCATGCCTGTTCGCCTTTGGAACCGAAGCGGCCCCAAGCATTGGGTTCATCTAACCCTCAACCCCAGACTAGACCCTAGCTATAGGCTTTTGGGACATGTCATGGTTTTTCCCTTATTGGGATAGGTTTTTTGGGACATGTCCACATTTCCCCTTATTGGGTTTCAGAGGCTCATATTTAAGAACATTCTTTGGGGGGCGTTTAGGGCCATGCTGGCCAGGAACAAGGCCAAGCCCCCCTCGGTGTGTTGAAGGTCCCTCTTCGACGCAGGGAAGCCCTTGCTGAAGACCTGCAAGGAAGTCTTGCGCAGCCAGGGGCTTGGAGCAGCAGGGTCTTTATATTAACAGTCCTGAGTAGGGATCATATCGCCCCCTACTAGAATCCATGTTAAGGACTGGTGGTATAAGGGGGAACATCCCAAGGGTAAGGATTTAGGATGTTCGTCTGAGGACTGGTGGGGGTGAAGGACCTGGAAGGAGCGACCAGGCGTCTCGATCTTCAGTGAGATGTGGTTCCACGCCCAAACCCCTAAAGCGTCGCACGTGGAGGCTCATGAGCTGTCTGCCAGCACTTGGCCTTCAGCCCAGCTACCCCATGTACAAAGACATGGTACAGGTGGCGGCGATCGTGGGGCACCTAGCTCGATCGGTGCGGTGGCAGCCACTATTTGCTTATAGAAGGCAGTTGCCCTATACTGCGCCCTTATAAGGAATATTTTCCTAGACTGCCCTTATAAGGAAGAGTATTTTTGAGGGGTTCTTGAGCAAATAGTAGGTAGTTGGTGAAGTCGGACTCACTCCAAGAATGCAAGGATGGGAATGTAGAGCTGGCCGAAGCGTGGCATCAGCAGCTGCCTCCCTGTCACTTTGTCCGAGCTGGTGATAGACCCTAAACTCCTGAGGGTTTAGGGTTTAGGGTTTAGGGTTTAGGTTTAGGGTTTAGGGTAGTTTAGGGTGTAGGGTTAATGGATATGCAAGGGTTTCGGATCTTTGGCGCGAGAGGGTTTTGGGTTTAGGGTTTTTAGGGTTTACCAGCCACCCGCCCGCAACCCCAGAACCGTGTTCATGCCGCCAGGAAGGAGGATGGCTTCACGCCCGACGCGGGACTCTACGCCTTTGACTTGGAGGGGAGAGGGGGTGGGCGCCGGGGGGGGCTGGGGCAGCTGCAAACCCTGAAGCCCTAGACCCTAAACCCTAAGCCCTAAGCCCTAAGCCCTAAGCCCTAAGCCCTAAACCCTAAGCCCTAAACCCTAAACCCGAAACCCTAAACCCTAACCCTAAACCCTAAACCCTAACTAAGACTCGGCTTTGGGTTCAGACTTGAGGGCGGTCCAGGGTTGGGGTAGGGTAGGGGTTTAGGGATTCGGGTTGGTGGGTTAGGGCTTAAGGGGGCAGAGGTGGTCCTAAACAGCTACACCCCGAACCTCAAGCCGCAAGCCCAAAAAACCCTAAAACCCTAAAACCCTAAAACCCTAAAACCCTAAAACCCTAAAACCCTAAAACCCTAAAACCCTAAAACCCTAAAACCCTAAAACCCTAAAACCCTAAAACCCTAAAACCCTAAAACCCTAAAACCCTAAAACCCTAAAACCCTAAAACCCTAAAACCCTAAAACCCTAAAAGCCTAAAACCCTAAAACCCTAAAACCCTAAAACCCTAAAACCCTAAAACCCTAAAACCCTAAAACCCTAAAACCCTAAAACCCTAAAACCCTAAAACCCTAAAACCCTAAAACCCTAAAACCCTAAAACCCTAAAACCCTAAAACCCTAAAACCCTAAAACCCTAAAACCCTAAAACCCTAAAACCCTAAAACCCTAAAACCCTAAAACCCTAAAACCCTAAAACCCTAAAACCCTAAAACCCTAAAACCCCAAACCCTAAACCAGAAACCCTAAACCCTAAACTCCAACCTCTCAACACCAAAAGTTCTTGACGCCAGAGCCTCCCGTCCCGAAGCCATGGAAGTCACCCACGCTCTTTGCCTGAGGCTCTGTTGATCCAGGCTTGCCAGAAGGCAGGGCATCTTGCTCAAGATTCGGTGTTTCGTGGGACTTGCGGTTTTGTTCGGTGGAAAGGCGTGTGACCCTAGACCCTAAGCCCCAAGCCCTAAGCCCTAAGCCCTAAGCCCTAAGCCCTAAGCCCTAAGCCCTAAACCCTAAACCCCAAAGCCTAAACCCCAAACCATAGGGTCGATCGGAGCTACTGTTTCTATTCTTCTTTTTTTTGGGGGGGGGCGGGGGGGTGCAGGGGGCACCTTTGACCTGTGAGGAATCGTGAAACCCAAAACGCTGGTCCCAAAGTTGACCCCAAGCCCTAAACACCCTGCCCCCGTCTCCCTCTCTTCAGGGTTTCGGGTGGGGTTTAGGGTTTAGGGTTTGGGTTTAGGGTTTAGGGTTTAGGGGAGCAGGCGAAAGAGCCGGAGAAAGCCGTTGCCTACTTCAACCTCATGGTCTCCGCCTCTTGGGCCCCAATTTCTCTCTTTGGGGGGTTTTTGGGTGTAGGGTTTAGGGTTTTTGGGTTTAGGGTTTAGGGTTTAGGGTGAGAAGGTCGTGTTGAGGGGGGCTTCGCGGTTCAGGGGGTTTGGGGTTGAGGGGTTTGGGGTTTAGGGGTTTTGGGGTTTGGTGTCTAGGGCTTAGGGTTTTGGGGTTTAGGGCTTAGGGGTTTTCGGGGTTTAGGGTTTAGGGGGTTTTGGGGTTGGGATGTTGCCTCTTATGCTAGCAGTCCTTAGTAGGGAATATGGTACCTCCTATTAGGCTATTAGAATCCGTATTAAGGGCTGCTAGTATAAGGGGGAACGTTTAGGGGTTTTAGGGTTCAAAGATGTTAGTAGTGCCAACCATGCTGATCTACGAACCTCGTGCCTCTTTTGAAGCCCTTGACGAGGGTCCGAAACCCGAACCCTAAACCCAAGAGCCCAAAAGCTGCTAGCCCCAAAACTGTAAAACCTCTAAAGCCAAAAAAACCCAAAACACCGAAACCCAAAAACCATAAAGTCTAGAAGCCTAAGCCCTAAATTCAAAAAACCCTAAAGCCCTCAAGTCCTAAAGCCTACGCCTAAACCCTAGCCCTAAACCCTAAACCCTAAACCCTAAACCCTAAACCCTAAACCCTAAACCCTAAACCCTAAACCCTAAACCCTAAACCCTAAACCCTAAACCCTAAACCACTCTTTCATATATAATATAAATGTTAATGGCTTTGCGGGCAAGGTCCGAAAATTAGTGGGCAAGGTCCGAAAATTAGCGGGCAAGGTCCGAAAATTAGCGGGCAAGGTCCGAAAATCAGCGGGCAAGGTCCGAAAATCAGTGGGCAAGGTCCATTGGCTGCCCCACGACCTTGCCCACTAATTTTCGGACCTTGCCCGCTGACCCACCACCTTGCCCCTGATTTTCGGACCTTGCCCACTAATTTTCGGACCTTGCCCGCTAATTTTCGGACCTTGCCCGCTAATTTTCGGACCCGGGAAAGGCCCGAGAAATTAGCGGGCAAGGTCCGAAAATTAGCGGGCAAGGTCCGAAAATTAGCGGGCAAGGTCCGAAAATTAGCGGGCAAGGTCCGAAAATTAGCGGGCAAGGTCCGAAAATTAGCGGGCAAGGTCCGAAAATTAGCGGGCAAGGTCCGAAAATTAGCGGGCAAGGTCCGAAAATTAGGGGCAAGGTCCTTGCCCCGCCCCCCCCACCCCACCCCCCCCCACCCCCCCCCCCCCTTCCCCACCACCCCCCCCCACCCCCCCCCACCCGCCCCCCCCCCACCCCCCCCCCCACCCCCACCCCCCCCCCCACCCCCCCCCCCCACCCCCCACCCCCCCCACCCCCCCCCCCCCCCACCCCCCCCCCCACCCCCCGCCCCCACACCCTCCCCCCCCACCCACCCCCCCACCCCCCACCCGCCCCCCCACCCCTCCTTCACCCCCCTTCCTTCCCCCCCTGCCCCTCCAGCCCCCTTCCTCCCGCAACGGGTGTTGGTCAGTTGAAAACGTGTCTGACTTGGGTAGGTAAAACTCTTTGGGGTAGGATGAAAACCTTATATTTTCTTAATGTTATGGGATTCTTTGGGCGGGTGGGTTTTGTTTCCGTTGCCTGAACACACTACTGGCCTAGTAAATGCTCGAACTTGAGATGCTGAACCCTAAACCCTAAACCCTAAACCCTAAACCCTAAACCCTAAACCCTAAACCCTAAACCCTAAACCCTAAACCCTAAACCCTAAACCCTAAACCCTAAACCCTAAACCCTAAACCCACCCTAAACCCTAAACCCTAAACCCTAAACCCTAAACCCTAAACCCTAAACCCTAAACCCTAAACCCTAAACCCTAAACCCTAAACCCTAAACCCTAAACCCTAAACCCTAAACCCTAAACCCTAAACCCTAAACCCTAAACCCTCCCTAAAGCCGTAAAGCCCGAAACCCTAAAAAGCCCTAAACAGAGCGAAGTTTGTGAGCCAGAGGCGGGCGTGAAGCCAACCAGCGGGTCCTTGCCCAAGCATGGAATACGCCTTCATCAGGGTTTAGGGTTTAGGGTTTGGGGTTTAGGGTTTAGGGTTTAGGGTTTAGGGTTTGGGGCTTAGCGGACCTCGGGCTTTTGGGTCATAGGGGCTTACAGGGCAAGGTATTGAGGGGCTTTATCAGGGGTTCTGCTGATGCGCGGCTTACAGGGGGTCTATTTTGATAGGTTAGCGGTTTGTCTGGATTTAGGGTTGAGGTTCGTACGGGCTTATTTTCGACAGGTCTACAAGGGCGTTAACGTTAAAGGTGTTTGGGGTTTATATGTGTAGGCACTTGGGATGCTTAGTGCGTCTATTGAGTTTGAAGATTTCTCAGAAGGTTCCTTTGTGGTGCTTTGCTGTAACTTTAGATCCTTAGCCTTGTTGGGCTTATTGGGTTTCCTAGTAAGGGAGCTAAAAACTTAATTTACAGCTACCTTCCTAAGAGCAGCCAAGGTTCAAGAGAAGCACTAAGCTCTTCGCGTTGTTTGCTCAAACCGAAGATTCCGACTCCCTAGCAAGCCAGAGTCTATTTTTGCTCTAAAGCTTGCCCAGGGCATACGTGCACATCATCCTCACCCTTGCGCAGGCCGGGTCTAGGGGGCCCCGGGCGGGCACTGGAATTTGTAGCTGCTTTGTTGGAGACTCGCGCAGACTTTTGCTGCACCTGCCCAGGCAAGGGACGTGAAGCCCGCCTGTTTGCAACACGATCCGCCACAATCCAGTACATCTCAGCGCGACCTTCCGGTGCCATGGCAGGTAGAAGTGGTGTCCGAGTGGATGGAGAGGACTCCACCTTGCAGCATCTGCGGCACTCGGCCTCTGGACCTTGAACCCGAAGTCCCAAGCCGAAGTCTGGTTGAACCTCGGGAGGATGCTGGAAGCTGGCTTTGAACCCACCATAGAGTGCCGCGCTCGGAGGATCCTGCAATAAAGGGCATCGCGCACTCATACGAATGATGACAGGCTAATATGGCATGCTTCTGGAAGTCACACGCTATTGTTTGTGCTGTCATGAATATCATCAAATTTTTGTACATTGTACATATCTATAGAAAATATATACATACATACACACACATATATATATATATGTGTATATATATATAGATATATATAGGCATGTATATCTTCATAAACAATAAGGCAACAGTCGATAGTATACAGTAGGAAAGAACATGCAGAGGCCGGTGGACCCTAATCATCTCGGCCATGTATAGGGCAGGGATGGGGGGGGGGGGGTCGGTATGCGTGGACTGTGTGTGTGTGTGTGTGTGTGTGTGTGTGTGTGTGTGTGTGTGTGTGTGTGTGTGTGTGTGTGTGTGTGTGTGTGTGTGTGTGTGTGTGTGTGTGGTGTGTGTGTGTGTGTGTGTGTGTGTGTGTGTGTGTGTGTGTGTGTGTGTGTGTGTGTGTGTGTGTGTGTGTGTGTGTTTGTGTGTTTGTGTGTGTGTGCATATATATATATATACATACTTGTATGTCTATACCCTAAAAACCCTAAACCCTAAACCGGTCGCTGCGTGTCTCGGTGCTTCTCTGCAGGTGCTACGAAGCAGTCCTCCAGGCCGGCTGTAGTACGAAGTAGGGTGTAAAGGTCTTGAGCTTGTAGGTTTAGGGGTTTAGGGTTTTGAGGGTTTAGGGGTTTCGGGCTCAGGGCCCCAACACCTAAAATCTGGACCCGATGGCCTGCCATATGACGAGGGTCTTTGTTTTCGGTGTTCCCAAGTATCCTCCTGGTTCGAAAAGCCGGCGCAGTAACAACCCCAACCCCCTAAACCCTAAACCCTAAACTTCCCTAAACCCTAAACCCTAAACCCTAAACCCTAAACCCTAAACCCTAAGCCCTAAACCCTTAACCCTAAACCCTAAACCCTAACCCCCCAAAGGCCAACACCTTACAACCTGTGAGTTGCGGGGTCACAGTCGGAGGCTACGGCGTCGCGCAGAGACCGCGATCTGCAGGACTTCTGGGAGGACTTCTGGCGCCTCAGTGGCAACGCAGGGGGCAGGGTTTAGGGTTTTGGTCGTTGAGGGTTTCGGGTTCAGGGTAGTTTAAGGTTAAGGGTTTGGGGGTATTTGGGGGCAGAGGTTTCCACAAACTTGGGTCCCCCCCCAATTCCCTGCATGAGTGCCCTAGTAGGAGCTGAGGAGCTGATCCTGCAACTCCGTCTGGCAGGCTCAAGCAGCTCGCCAAGCGCAAGAAGAAGCCCGACAGGGAAGTCTACAAAGTGCTCATCCGGGTGCCACCCCCCTGGCTTCCCTTCTGCAAGTCAGGTCTTCCCTTGCGCTCGGTTCTGGGGGCTCCGGTAGGTACCGGCCATGTACGGGGACGTGAAGCGCGCGATCCAGCAGCGCGGACCCTTGGTCTTCTGTGAGTGCCGCAGGTTCGCTGGTTTCTTTCTGGCTTGAGAGGCTGGAGAAGATGCGCAAGGCGCACCAAGAGCCGGGCCCCAACGAGTGGAACTACGTGCTGAAGGTGCGCCGTCTTGGGACGCTTCAGACCGGGCTTGCGTGAGTCGCATGATGGCGGACCGTAGCGCAAGATCCTGCAAGGCATGTGAGAAGGCCAAAGATGCTGACAATGCCCAGAAGTACATGAACCGCATGCGCAGCATGACCAAGGCTGGGCCCTGTCCCTCCTTCCCTCAGGGACCCCTCTGCGTCTTCTCATCCTCTTTGTGACTACCCGCAATGCGACAGGGCGCCAAACCCAACGAAGAGTCCTACCACTTGGTCATCAAGACCTGTGCCAAGGCGCGGGCACCTCGAGCAGGTGAGCTGACTGACTTATACCAAGAGGTCAGGGTTTAGGAATTTAGGGATTTATCCAGGGCTCTAGACCCCAAGAGCCCTACTTCACAGGCCGCGTATAACCCTAGCCCTAAACCCTAAACCCTAAACCCTAAACCCTAAACCCTAAACCCTAAACCCTAAACCCTAAACCCTAAACCCTAAACCCTAAACCCTAAACCCTAAACCCTAAACCCTAAACCCTAAACCCTGAAGTGGCAGTCGGGGCAGGCTGGGAAGCCCAAGCTTGCCACCAAGTGGCGCAATCGGATGGCAGCAGCGGGCCAGTGCCCAAACATCGGTTCGGGGTTTTGGGGGGTTTGGGGTTAGGGTTTAGGGGTTAGGGTGTAGGGTTTACGGTATAGGGTTTAGGGCTTAGGATTGTTCTACATTAGAATCGCCAGATTTTGCAGCCTGTGTTGCGGAACCCTTTATCAACAGCAGCCTCCTCTGCCCAAAGGGACCCTAGCGTACCCTAAACCCTAACCCCTAAACCCTAAACCCCCAACCCTAAACCCTAGACCCTCAACCCTAAACCCCTAAACCCCAAACCCCAAACCCCAAACCCCAAACCCTAAACCCTAAACCCTAAACCCTAACCCTAGACCCTCAACCCTAAACCCTAAGCCCTAAACCCTAAACCCCAACGTAGAGCAACTCCCCGCGTCCCGCTCCGCGCGTTTGGGCAGCTCCAAGCCGAGGCTTCTCCGTGCAACGGATCCAGTTCGACGAGGAGGGGCGCTCAGAGCTTTTAGGCTCTCGTAGCAAAACAACCTTCTGCCTCGGGTTATGGCAGGGTTTGGTGAAGCTTGAATGCTTCAGGGTTTAGGGTTTAGGGTTGGGGTTTAGGGTTTAGGGTTTAGGGTTTAGGGTTTAGGGTTTAGGGTTTAGGGTTTAGGGTTTAGGGTTTAGGGTTTAGGGTTTAGGTTTAGGGTTTAGGGTTTAGGGTTTAGGGCTCAGGGCTTAGGGCTTAGGGGTTGAAGGGATCCTGTTCACCCTCTTTTGCTGAGAAGTAGATAGACACAGGGTCCAGCTTGTCCAGGTGATCAAGGCCTCCGCCAGCAGCGCGACCATCTCGGCGGACTACGCCGCTGAGTGGGTGCGGGGCTCACGGCAATTTAGGGGTTTAGGGTTTAGGGTTTAGGGTTTTGGGTTGAGGGTTTACGATCATACCCTTAGACCCCCAAAAAGGTAGCGGTCCCTTTTAATTTATAAGGACCCCAATAAGGTATCCCCCCCCGAGCCTTGAATGGCTTGCCTTGGCCCGATTTGTTTTGCAGCGTGAGTAGGGAGAGGGGGGGGGGGTGGGAGTCATGTCGAGACCAGGTCAGCACATGTTTGGCTGGCTTCTTCTAGCCTCTTCTAGCTACATCAAGGCATCCTGGGACGTGTAGAATTTGGCATTCTCAGAGTGCTTTCTACAGATTGCCGGGCTCGTGGCCATGGCAAGTCCCGAGGAGACGGTGAAGGTGCGGCGGGAGGTCTTTGCGGCGGCCCTGCGCCGCCTCGATGCCCAGCTGGCGCAGGCCCGGCGCAACACCGAGGCGCTGGAGGAGCGCTCCTGCGAGTACCGGGAGCTGCGCCGGGTGTTGGCGGAGCTGCCGGAGAAGGTGTCGCACCCCATCATGGTGCCCTTCGGCCCTCTGGCCAGCTTTCCTGGGCAGCTGGTGCATACCAATGAGGTCCTCTGCCAGCTCTCCTCGGAGTATTTTGCCCTGCGCACCACGGGCAATGCCCTGGCCATGGTAGACCGGCGACTCCGCCGCCTGGAAGAGGAGCAAGCCAGCGCGGCCCGCGAGCTCCGGGACCTCTCCCTGCGCCGGAAGCTCGCGAGCGGGGAGCTGTCGGCTGAACCGGGCTCTGCGGGCTCGGGCTCGGTCGGCAAGGAGACCGACGTGGCCGGGGCCACGGTGAGTGTGGATGAAAACGGCTTCCTGGACATTCGCGAGCCCTTGGAAGAGGAGCAGCCAGCTGAGTCGCAGTCGAGTGTGCCAGCTGAGGAGGATGCTTGGAAGTTTTGGCAAAGCCCGGCGAAGAACAAAGCGGATACCACCTTGTCGCGGCTGCGAGAACTCGAGCAGATGGAGGAGTGCGAGTCCGGACAGGACCCTGCTCCCTACGAAGACGAGCTTTCGGAACTCGACCGGATCATGGACTCCTATGCGCATCTCGCGCCGGCAGAGGCAGAGGGGCCTTCGGACTCCAGCCCCCCTCGAAGCCCGAAGCCACAGGCGCCGCAGCAGAAGCCGCCGGCGAAGGCCTCGAGCCCTGCAGACCTCTTCCGGCTCATGGAATCCGTGGCGCAATCGGAGCCTTCGACCTACCCTCCAGGACCTCCAGGACCCCCACAACCACCAGGAGCTCCAGGACCGTCCGGAGCTTTGGAGCAAGCTGGGGTGTCTGAGCTGGTTCGTGAGCACTCCCAGTCCGAGTCGAGACACGACCCCGACAGCGCTCCCAAGCGCGTCTCAAAGTTCAAGGCCGACCGGCAAAAACGAGGAGGGTGCAGCAGCAAGTTCCATCACCCCATCATCCCTGGGAGGCTCATGCAACAAAACTCCCAACATCCCTAGAAGACCCGCACACACGCACACAGGCACATACGCACGCACGCTGCCCCCCCCTTATGATTCGGATACCCCTTGCACTCCTTCATCACAATCTTGTTTCCGTTTTAAGGTGCAGGAAACACTGTAAGTACCGATTCTCTTTCACCGTTTTGCAGGTTCTCCAGAAAATGTTGTAACGAAGGTGTATCACTGAACATCTCTCCTTCTCTCCATCAGTTTTTTTCTCCCAACAGTCTTTCGAACCTACTCGCCCGACGATGCCCGCAGGTCGCGCAGGCTCTGGAAGCAGGGCGAGTGCCCTCGATGCAGGCCTATCAGTCGGCCTGGCGCCCAGATGTTTCCGGCGGCGGTGTGGGGTTCCTTGGGGGTCTGTATTGGGGTTTTGCGGTTCAAAGGAGTTCAGGGTTCAGGGTTTGGGATGTGGGTCGTAAGAAGGCGAGAAATCCTTCGGCGTTGCCAAAAGCATAGAAGAAGGCTTCCAAATCATGTGCGCGGCTACCAACAAGGCTTCCAGCAGGTCATCGAACAGGATCAGGTGCCCAACCCCACACTCTAAGCCTTTAAACCCCGTGGCGCTCCGGGCTTGTGTTCGGTCGAGGTGATCCAGGCGTACCTGGACGAGAAGCAGACGGAGACGGCCAGGTGAGCTGTGGCTCCGTCGGGGTGTCCTTAAACTAAACCCTGAACCCCCAAGAGCTGCTGCTGCTGCTGCTGCTGCTGCTGCTGCTGCTGCTGCTGCGGCGCAGGGGTTCATCGTTGAGTTTTTGAGGGGTGGATTCCGCAGCACTTCCTGCATGAACGCCTGTCCCGACCTCCTCACCCTTGGGTGATCCGTAAGGTGAAATAGCGACTTGGCCGACGATTTTAGTCCAAGAAGCATTGGCAACGACACCACTGGCCTGGAAATGTTGTATGAGTCATTCGATCACCGCAATCATGTAGGTTGTTTGGTGGCGATTCATGTGGCCTCTTGGGTCTCCACTCCAAATCAGCCTTTTCTCGCACAGCTTGTAACTTTTGCTCACGTGCTCTAAGGGGACATCACGCCATCTTCTGCCCCCAGGGGCCGTGGCGTCCTTTGAGCATCTACAATTCCCCTGGTTAGCAGAGACGTGCGAGCTTCAAAGAAGTTGTGCCAGACGTTTTGAGTGTGAAAAGCTTCCCCAGTGTTCACGGTAGTTCGTTTCGCCGTCGTTTGTCTCCAGGGAGCTTCTTCGAGACAGGCCGCGCGTAAGGCCGCATGCACAAGCCCCAAACCCAGACAATGCTAAATTTTAATAAGCCCTGAGCCTTCAGCCCCAAACCTGATGGAGCTTGACCAGGCCCGACAAGAAGCTTCTGAACCCCGAAACCCCGAACCCGAGAACCGTTTCGGATGCAAGTTCTTGCGTTGACGACAGGCAGTGGCTGCAGTGGATGAAGGGGAACGGCACCAAGCCCGATGAGAGCATCTACTCGATGTTCATCAGGACCCCCTTGGTGCCGTGGAGTGCGCTTGCAGCTCAGTTCTCTACCCGCCCTAAACCCCAAGCCTTAAGCCCTAAACCCTAAGGCTTAAGCCTTAAGCCTCAAGCTTTAAGCCTTAAGCTTAAACCTGGGCAGGACTGATGCCAGGAAGGCGGGCGCTTGCTTGGATGCTAGTCATGCTCGCTTTGCTGTTCCTGTGAGCTCTGACCAGTTGCTGCGCTTGGCACATATTCCTGTTTGGATTATGTATGTCGGGTGAATACACAAACCCTAACTGAACCCCTGAACCCTAAACCCTAAACCCTAAACCCTAAACCCTTAGCCCTTAGCCCTTAAGCCCCAAACCCTAAACCCTAAACCCTAAACCCTAAACCCTAAACCCTAAACCCTAAACCCGAAGCACGGGGCCCGCAAGCTTCAGTGAAGGTTGGAGACTGGCTCGAAGAGATGGAGTCCGAGGGCGTGGTGGCCTCCGCCGAAAGCTACACGCCCTTCGGCCCAGAGGGCGATGTTTTAAACTGAACATTGTTTAGGGTTTAGGGTTTAGGGTTTAGGGGGGGGGGTGGGTTCATAGGCCGATTGGAGAGCCCTAAAAAGGCACCATTGTTTGGATTAAACCCCCCGAAGCCGCATCGCAACCTCCAAAACCTCCCAAACCCCTCACAACACTCTAGACCCGAAACCCTAAACCCTAAACCCGAAACCCTAAACCCCAAACCCCAAACCCCAAGGGCCGCGATCCGGCACTTCGCATCTCTTGGCAGCAAGAAGGGCGTGAAACAAGCCGCCTTCTGGTTCGACAGGCGCGAGGGGCGGCAAGGGCGGGCCACCTTCAACAACCCGAGGGTTCAGGGTTTAGGGTTTGGGGTCTGGGTTTAGGGGTTAGGGTTTGAAGGTTCAAGGTTTCGCCCCCCCCTTTTGGGACAGTTCTCCCTTGGCTGCAGGATGCTCTTGGCTGGCGTGTCCCCGACACAGGCCGCGCTCCAAACCAACGAGCCCTAATGGGTTTAGAGTTTAGGGTGTCGGGTTTAGGGTTTAGGGCTTAGGGTTTAGGGTTTAGGGTTGCCCTAGGGAGGCCCTCGGGACATTTTCAATTTTCCCTTATTGGGTTACGAGGCTTAAGAGGCTCATATGTAGGAATATTTCCCTTATTGGGTTCAAGAGGTCTAAGAGGCTCATATTGAGGAACATTTTTCGGGTTTTTTTTTGGGCCATCCTAGAACCCGAAGCCCTGAACCTTTCAGCTTGGGTGGTGCATCCACTCACTGTGTGCGAGGTTGGAACAACTTATTATCATTATAATAGTAATTATAATAATAATTATTATTATCATCATTATTATTATCATTATCATTATCATTATTATCATTATTATTTCTTTCAATGGGTTCGGGGTTTAGGGTCTACGGGTTTAGCGGGGATTGGACTTCAATGGTCGAAGCCATGGTTTTCCATTTTTTTGTAGGTAGAAAAAAGAAGCAGCAGCCCGTGTCGACTATAGCTGTTGCTACAAAGACCAGCCAGCTGGCTTGGCCCGCCTTTGTAATGTAGCTCCTGGAACTCAGACATGCACGCGACACATGAGAAAGATCAGAAAGCCAACCCTGAACCCTGAAGTGTCACGCCTGGAGGATGCTACATCTCGCCTTTGATACAAAAACCCTGATCCGTGGACCTGAACCTCGAAACCCCAACCAGTCTGGTCAACTGGGGGTCAACCAGGACGCGTACACTCAGATGATCACTGCCCATGCGCGCGCGGGGCAGAATGTCGAGTACCCAGAGCGGCGAGCAGAATCCATAGGGTTTCGAGCTTCGAGCTTTGAGTTTAGTTTAGGGTTTAGGGTTTAGGGTTCAGGGTTTAGGGTTTAGGGTTTAGGGTTTAGGGTTTAGGGTTTAGGGGTTAGGGGTTAGGGGTTAGGGGTTAGGGTTTAGGGTTTAGGGCTTAGGGTTAGAAGCCTGGAGCCTCGGCAGTTCCTGGGTTTAAGGTTTGGGGGGATGGTGGCTGCTTGGGGCTTGTTTGGTGCTGGGGAACTCATCGGGCCCCTGACGCTTAAATTATGATGATGATGATTATTATTATCATCAGATCCCAGACCCCAAACCCCAACGTTGCAGCCCATAACTAATCCAAAAACTCCCAACCGCCCCAGCCTTAAAGCCCTAAACCCTAAACCCTAAACTCCCGACCCTAGGCCCTAAACCTAAGCCCCAAACCCTACACCTAAGCCCTAAACCTAAGCCCTAAACCTTAAGCCCTAAACCGGAGCCCAAACCCTCGACCTTGGGATTCGCACCCTTCTACTCACAGTCCTGAATTTGGATGATTATAGGGGGGTACTGTCATCCCTAGTAAGGGCTGTTAGTATCAGGGGGAAGCACCCCAACCCTAAACCCTAGCCCTAAACCCTAAGCCCTAGCCCTAAACCCTAAACCCTAAACCCTAAACCCTAAACCCTAAACCCTAAACCCTAAACCCTAAACCCTAAACCTAAACCCTAAACCCTAAACCCTAAACCCTAAAAACCCTAAACCCTAAACCCTAAACCCTAAACCCTAAACCCTAAACCCTAAACCCTAAACCCTAAACCCTAAACCCTAAACCCTAAACCCTAAACCCTAAACCCTAAACCCTAAACCCTAAACCCTAAACCTAAGCCCTAAACCCTAAACCCTAAACCCTAAACCCTCGACCCGAGGATGAAGCAGGCCAGTGGCTGTCGAAGCTTACGGCGGCCGGCTTCCGCCGCTCGGCCGCGATGTCTCGAGGGTTTAGGGTTCAGGGTTTAGGGTTCAGGGTTTAGGGTTAAGGGTTTAGGGTTTAGGGTTTGGGAGTTAAGGGTTTAGGGTTTAGGGCTTAAGGTTGCGGAGTTTGGGAGTCGAGGCGTGGAACGCTTGGAGGTTCTAGGGTCTTGGGGCTTGAGGTATGGAACGCTTAGAGGTTCTAGCGTCTTGGGGCTTCAGGCTGCTTAGGGGGTTCTCTGGCGTTTTAGGTTCAGGGGGTCAGCGCTGAGGTTCTTGGAGTTTAGGGTTCCGGGTGTTAGCAGTAGACAGGGGCCAAGACCTAAGGTGCTAGGAGGGCTCCGAGTTCTAAGCGGACACAGCCTGCCCACAAGACTGTAGCTTCGGCTCTTCGCTTTGCGAGCTTCCGTCACATGGGTTTCCGAAATTCGGGGTACCTTATCGGGGAAAGAACTGAAAGGGAATCCTACTGTTCGGGGGGCGATATTGGGGGTCCCCTGTTTTCGTAAACCGCCACATCGCACCCTTAAAGGCCCGAGACCTTTTCTTGGCTTGAAGAAGCCGGAAACCACCATGTGGGGCAGTTCCCAAGCTCGATGCCCTCAAACCCTATCATACTGTAGCGCAAGCCTTGTGCAGCAGTGGGAACTCGTACTGACTCCCCTATGCAGCTTGCGGCAAGCCCTAGACCCTCAAACCTGAAACAGCAAGGGTTCGAAACCCTAACCCCCTAAGCATCCTAAACATTCCCTAAGCAGCTCGTCCCTCCCTCAACCCCCTTGAACCCCCTAAGCTTCCCCCCCCCCCCCCTCTTCAGCCCTGCGCAACAGCATTCCGCAGGTCCGAACCTGTCGGCCTACACTGCCCTGATGCAGGGCTACCTCCGGGTCCAGGATGCTACAGGGGTCCAGCCTGGGGCCCCTGAACGCAGCGGGGGTGGCTTTCCGTGGATGTTTGGGGGCTTGTCGGGCTGTTTGGGAGGTCTGAGAGAGGGAGGTTAGATGATTTAGGGGGGCTTGCTCGGGGGGTCTTGGGCCAAGTAGCGCCCGAAATCCTGCGCTGCACCTCTCAAGCAGGTGGGAGCTTACAGGGGTTTTGGGATTTGGGCTTACGCCCTAAACCTAAACCCTAAACCCTAAACTCTAAACCCTAAACCCTAAACCCTGAACCTGAAATCCTACACTGCGAGCCCCAAATCCTAAAGCCCAAGCTGCCGAGGCAGATTCTCGACTGGCTCGTGCTGGAGGGACTCGATCCCAGTCGCCGTGCCTACAACATTGCCGGAGACCTGAAGGGTACTGTCGTTCTGGTAGTCGTTGGGAACAAAAAAGTCAGAATACTCAAACAAACAGTCTTGATCATGTATGGATTATGTCGATAAGAAGAATTCGGAAAGCTCACAATGGCCCTGTGCGCTAAGCCCTAAATATAGGTGGTCTCTTGCAAACTTCGTGCCAGATTCCACCATTTTGCAATGTCCGACCCAAACCCGAAGACCTAAAGCCGCAAAACCCAAAACCCAAAACCCAAAACCCAAAACCCAAAACCCTAAACCCTAAACCCTAAACCCTGACAGTAAGCTTGGAGAGTGGCTGCAACTGGCCGCAGTCCAGGCCATCAGGGCCTTCTCCGAAGCCGGCGACGCCAAAGCGGCCGAGCAGATGTACAAAAGGCGGCATCCCCAGAGTCAAAGAACGTTTATCCTAAACCCTCAGCGCTCGAACCTGAATCCGTTTGGCGGTCAGGCTCACTGTCGCCGGGAGGTACCCCGACCAGAAGCGCCGACCTCATCTTGCCATGGGGGGGTTCAAAACCCGTAACCACAAGGACCCTTACAGCCAAGAAATCCAGAATCCGCCGAAACCACATACCCGTCTCCAACTAATGCATCCAGGAGGGGGGCGAGACCGTGTAGTATACATTATCGCCCCGTGTTCTTCTACCTTGGACTTCAACAGAAGGTTCAACAATGAGGTCAACATAATTGAGCCTGGTAGTCCTTGCAATTTTACCTTAACTAGAGAAAACTCGAGATCACAGCAAACAGGGTGCGTGGCAGGCCTAGCGGGATACATTCTTGGTTCTTGAAGAACTCAACACAACATAATGTGTCCCACAATGCGGGTGACAGATGACCCTTAACCCCTATATCCGAAACCCCTGCCAAAACCCCTTTAAGCCCCCTAAACCCTAACCTCTAAACCCAAACCCTGACCCCACACCCTAAACCTAAACCCTAAACCCTAAACCCAAGATCCTAAACCCAAAACCCTAAACCCTAAACCCTAAACCCTGAACCCTAAACCCAAAACCCTAAACCCTAAACCCTAAACCCTAAACCCTACACCCTACACCCTACACCCTACACCCGACACCCTTAACCCCAAACCCTAACCCCTACACCCTGAACCCGAAACCCTAAACCCCTTTTAAGCCCACCCAACCCCCAAACGCAAGGACCTTCCTCAGCCTCATCCAGTGCCACGCGCTAGAGCCCGGCTTGCCATCGTCAGATTCGGGCGTAGGGGTTTTAAGACCCTAAACCCTCAGAACCCTAAACCCCGGTTTCGGGTTTAGGGTTTAGGTTTAGGGTTTAGGGTTTAGGGTTTAGGGTTTAGGGTTTAGGGTTAGGGTTTAGGGTTTAGGGTTTAGGGTTTAGGGTTTAGGTTTAGGGTTTAGGGTTGAGAGTTTAGGGCTTGGTGTTTCGGGACATGGTGCAGGGTTCCCTGTTGCTTGGCAGGAAAGGCGGTTTCCCTCTTCCGCACCTGAAGCCCTGCGCGGAAGCTTTCAGGATCGCCTGGGCAACCCAGAGTCCCCAAACTCTCAAGGGTTTAGGGTTTAGGGTTGAGGGTTTAGGGTTTAGGGTTTAGGGACTCGAAACCCTCAAGACTCAAAACCCTGAAGCCTTCAAATTCTCAAACCCAAAGCCCTTAAACCCTCAGCCGTAAGCCCTCAAACCCTATGCCCTAGGCCCTGAAAGCCCTGACACCCGTAGACCCTGAACCCTAAACCCTAGAACCCTCAAACCCCCTCAGCCCGCCCCACTCAGACCCGCCTCCGCAACTTCGACCGGGCGCGCGCATGGCCCGCCCTGCGCGGATGTCTTTTCAAATTTGGGGGTGTCGGTGTTTAGGCGCCTAAAGCCTAAAGGGTTAGGGGTTTAGGGGTGTAGGGTTTAGGGTGTAGGGTCTAGGTGATTTGGGTTTTAGGGTGTAAGACTGCGGTTAAGGGGTGCAGGGTTGGTATAGGGTCGAGAGTTTAAGGGTCTAGGGGTGTAGGGTTTGAGGGTGTACCTTGACCTCACCCCCCCCCCCGGGGTATGGCCGGCCTAAGATACAAGGCATGTAGGCCTGTATGATAGGTATTTTGAAGTCTGGGTAGGGTCTGGTCGTGTGGCTCGGGAGTCTGGGAGTTACTCGGAGTTACTAGGAGTTCGGGTTTAGCAGTATGGGAGTTTAAGTGATAAACTCTAAGCCTTAAAAAGAGATTGGCATCATTGCGAGCACTCTTTCGTTTCGGTCTTTGGTGCGATCTCGCCTCAATTTCTCGAAGCCATTTCAAAAACGACCCAAAATACCCGGGCGTCGTTTACAGAATTTATTGCTTAGGGTCAGGCTCTTTGGGGTTTAAGGGAGAGCGTAGTGTTTCGGTTGCAGTATTCGACTTGGTTGTGCAGGTAAGAGGTGCATGATGCCAGGAGACTCGTCGCCATTCGTCTTAACCATCTTAAGGCCCTAAACCCTAAACCCTAAACCCTAAACCCTAAACCCTAAACCCTAAAACCCTAAACCCTAAACCCTAAACCCTAAACCCTAAACCTTAAACCCTAAACCCTAGTGGGGATGTCGATCATTCACGCAGCCGCTGCCCAACGTTGCTAGCTGCTACTTGGAGGTTCATGGGCACCTATGGCCCCAACTACAAGTCTACTTATGACCTACTTAGAGGACTTTAGGGGGTTTATAAGTGCATTGCAATTGGGGTTCTCAGTTATAAGTTATCAGTCATAAGTCATAGGTACCCTGAACCTCCATGTAGTCATGGCTGGCGCGCTCCCCTGTAGCAAGGGTGGCATGAATCGATTTGCAGCAGACGTGCGAAGTACTGCGTCTGGGGAAGCTTTGTGACGCAAGCTGTTTCAGCGACCCTCTAAACCCTAAACCCCAGACCCCAGCCCTCAACCCTAAACCCGAAACCCTAAACCCTAAATCCTAAACCCTAAACCCTAAACCCTAAGCCCTAAGCCTTAAACCCTAAACCCTAAACCCTAAACCTACCTTGCCTGGACAGGTTCAAGGAGATGCTGACCATGAACGTCCGGCGGCCCGCTCAGCTGCCCCCATGTGCAGTGGGAAACTTTGCAGAGAAAATGGGTTTAGGGTTTAGGGTGTGTTTAGGGTTTAGGGTTTAGGGTCTAGGGTTTAGGGTTTAGGGTTAGGGTTTAGGGTTTTGGGTTTTGGGGTTCGGGTTTAGGGTTACGGGTTTAGGGTTTAAGGCCCTTGATTTATGTATGCTGGCGAACATCTCGTATATCATATACTGCACGTGGCGTACGTACTATACATATCTAATCTGCTATTTGAGCGGCTGCCTACATTTGTTGTCGTAGTGGCCAGGTGGACACGAGTGCTGCGAATATCAACAAAGCACAGAAAGCAATGGGGGCGCCACCTAAAGCGATAACATTGGGCTTGCACATTCAGATGCATACATCCCGTAATCCCATAGTATGTAAAACGATAGGCGCCCCACAAGAAGCGATAACATGGTAGTCCGTGTTCTTTCGCTCTTCTAGCAAATTTTGTCCGTCACTCATATAGATGTTTTGCATACTGTCTTACTTCCATTTCTAATGGGCCCCATCGAGGGCTTTTGAGGTTCGGGGCTGCTTCTGACGGTTTCACTTTGAAGAACCTGCTGAGGAGGAAGTTTCGGGTTTCGTGTTTTCAGAAGCACGATCGAAAAAAAGTGAGCTATGTCGCACTCTCTGGGAGAGAGGAAGGCGAACAAGATGCAAATTTCAAGTGTTTGGGGCCAGACGCCACATTTCGGACTCTGTCGGGTTAGGTCAGGGTTCCGAGTATAGCTTGACACACCCTCACTCTGCTCTGCCCGAAGACACGAGGAGGGAGTTGCTCAAGCATACGGGTGCTTGTAGGGTTTCTATTGCGGCAGATGGTCGGTTCTCTGAATAGTGGTCCTTCCTTTCTCAGAATACGGAGCCTTACTCCAGAAAGCACCCTAAACCCTGACCCCTCAACCCTAAACCCTCAACCCTAAACCCTCAGCCTTACACCCTCAACCTTAAACCCTCAACCCTAAACCCTCAACCCTAATAAACCCTAAACCCTAAACATCTAAACCCTAAAATCTGAGTGCAGTTCCGGAGGCCTAACTTCGCCATCTACGCGGCCATGATCCGGGGTGCCGCGGTCGCCGATCGCCCGGACGACGCCCGCGAGACGGGGCCTCGGACCCCGCAGCCTCAAAGGGTCAGTTTTGGGAGTTTAGCGTTTAGGGTTTAGGGTTTTGCCTCTTATACTAACAGTCTGGGGATTATAGTAGCGGGTGCCCTAAATATTAGGGGAGCATTATAATAGTAGACCATGATTTAGAGCAGTGACCAAATCCTGAAGCCGTCGTTGTTTTCTTAGGGCTTTTGGTCTTAGCGCTTCTAGAGAATCCCCCAAAAGCTACATCCAAAACGCTAAGCCCCAAAGCCTTCAACCCTAAGCCCCAAGCACGAAACCCTAAACCCTAAACCCTAAACCCTAAACCCTAAACCCTAAACCCTAAACCCCAAACCCTCGACCCTCAACCCTAAACCCTAAACCCTAAACCCTAGACCCTAGACCCTAGACCCTAGACCCCAAACCCTAAACCCTAAGCCCTAAGCCCTAACCCCTAAACCCTAAACCCTAAGCCCTAAACCCTAAACCCTAGACCCTAGACCCGAGACCCTAGACCCCCAACCCTAAACCCTAAGCCCTAAGCCCTAAACCCTAAACCCTAAGCCCTACACTCCGTCAGCCTCAGGTTCCTGGAGGAGATGGCGCTCCGGAAGTTCCATCACTCCATCGACAGGCAGCCCTGCACCCTAAGCCCTAAAAGCCCTGAACCCCAAATCTAAAAAACTTCAAACCCTAAACCCTAAACCCTAAACCCTAAACCCTAAACCTTAAACCCTAAACCCTAAACCCTAAACCCTAAACCCTAAACCCTAAACCCCAAACCCCAAACCCCAAACCCCAAACCCTGAACCCTAAACCCTTAAACTTTAGACTTAAACTCTAAGCCTTGGGCGCTGCGTATTCTTCGAACCTCGCCCCTGTGGCCTCAGACCCCCAGACCCTTAGTTTGGGGTTGAGGGTTGAGGGCTCAGGGTCACACCCAAAAGCACCCTAAACCAAACCCTAAACCCTAAACCCTAAACCCTAAACCCAACGCCCTAAACCCTAAGTTCCTCAGCTTGTCCCAGTTTAGTAGGGTACTGAAGCTGCCCTTGCAGAGCCTCCATATCCTGCTTCAGGTACACGCCGCTAGTAGTCCCAGAGAGAAGCCGAGACCGCCTAGACCCCTCAACCCTGTACCGAATTCCTTGTTCGCCCTCGCGCAGTCGTGACAGGGGGAGGAGGCCCCTAAGCCCGAAACCCTAAACCCTAAACCCTAAACCCTAAACCCTAAACCCTAAACCCTAAACCCTAAACCCTAAACCCTAAACCCTGAGCAGGCGCGATTGGGAAGCCATGATGGTCCCAGCTCTTCGCTGCTTTGAGAAGGCCCGCAACACCCCGGGGCCGAGGGTGGAGGGTGTTGGCCCCTAAGCCCTGCAGCCGATGGAAGCCCCGGAGCCCGAGAAGTACCAAAGACCTCAGGCCCTGAACCCTCAATCTTGAATCCGAAGCCCTAAGCTGCTACACATGAAGCCCCGCAAGCCTGACCCCAGAAGTCTTCTCTCACCTTGCTCCCCTTGAAGCGGGGATTTCAGGAAGGGGACGACGACTCTCTCGTGCGCTGGACGGAGTACTCCGCGGATCAAGGTCACGTGACGCGAGATGGGGGTTTCCGAACATAGGGGTGCCCTTTTTTGGGGTCCCTTTTTTTGGGGATTTTCTTCTATTTGGGGTATAAAAGTAAAAGGCGTACCCCCCATTTTGGGAAATGCCCAAATGGTGGGAGGAGAGCTTCTGAAAGCCCCAGCCGCACGCCCCAAAACCTGTCCAACCCAAACCCCTGAACACCGTAGAGCTTCGGGTTTGGGGTTCAGGGCTTTGGGTTGAAAGGAAGGCTTTTTTACCTGACAGGATTTGAAGCTTTGGGTGGCCTCTTCGGTTCGAAGCTACCGAGCGGTGCTTCAGCTCTTCTGCCTGGATCAAACCCAAAACTTGGCCCTAAACCTTCTGCCCCAACGCGCGGAGAATGGAACCTTTTCAGTTCCGGACCCGATGGCTTCAGGGCTTGTCGGGTAACGTGTAGGGGTTCAGGGCTCCTAAACCCTAAACCCTAAACCTTAAACCCTAAATCCTAAACCCTAAACCCTACACCCTAAACCCTTTGGTTCAGGGTTTAGGGTTTCGACTTATGGTGGCTAAGCTTCGAACCGCGGTCGCCTGCCGGAGGCTTTCCGGACCTCCTTCCCGACACCAAGGCCGGGGGTGGGGGGTTGGGGACATTTTTTTTCATTTTTCATCATATGCACATATGTATATTGCCGTAAATATGGATGTATGCATATGTATGTATGTATGTATATATATATATATATATATTTCATTGTTATTGTTATTGCTACCTTCTCTTTTTTTTTTTTTTTTTTTTTTGGGGGGGGGGGGGGGGTGGGGGTGGTTCTTGTACAGGGGACAATAAGGGGATCATGGTTTATGTTGGGTGTTTGAGGGGTACCCTCTTTTGTTAAATGCCCCCTTACAGAAGCCAAATATTCACGACAGGGGGGGCTGGGCTTTGCGACTGTGCGACTGTAGGTCTGTGGTGTGGGCTAAGGGTCCAAGGCTCTAGAGGTCTCTAAGGCCCAGTGCTGTTGGGGTTTCCGGTTTAGGGTTTAGGGTTTAGGGTTTAGGGTTTAGGGTTTAGGATCAGTCTTTCTGAAGAGCAGCGGGATGATCTCATCTACAGTCAAGATGAGCCACATGTACTTCTAGCTAAAAAGGGCGTGAGAAGCTCGCCAGGGCGGGCGCCAAAGAGCCCTAAAAACAGATAAGCCCCATGCAGTTTCTGGGATCTCAAGCTTTCTTACAGCTCTCAAACCCTAAACCCTAAACCCCAAACCCTAAACCCTAAACCCTAAACCCTAAACCCTAAACCCGGAGATCAGAATCTAAGTGACAGGTGGACTTCCCTGAGAAGAGGCCCTACGCGCGGAAGAGGCCAGCTTTGGGGCTGTTTCGAGGTTTGCAGGCTTGATCAGGCTTTGTAGGGTTTAGGGTTTGTAGGGTTTGTAGGGTTCTTAGGGCTTCTGGGTAGGGTTTGTTAGGGAGGCCGGCCGAAAAAATGTCAAAAAACCAGAGTTGCTTGGGTACCCCGACCATCGAAATGAGTCATTTGACAGTCATGCGGTCATGTTTCGGGGTTGGGGCAACAGAGTAGTTCCGAACCGGCACGTCAACTCCTACTTCAGCCTAAACCCCTATGACAGCCCGTCCCACCTTTGGCGATTCCAGATGTAAAAAATCAACCCAAACCCTTAACCCTTAGCCCGATACCCCAGCAGAGACCTTAGCGAACCTACCACCCGTGGTCGAAAACTGGAGCACCTCACGCAGCT